GCAGGTTCCTTTTGAGCAGGCCTGGATAGGGTGGAGTGGGCTTGGGCTGGGCCAGAACAGGGTGGCCAGGCCATCCATGCGAGAGGAGCAACGGAGCCCTGAGACGGGTTTTGTCTTGGATTAATTGCTTGCCTTGGAGGTGGGTTTCGTAGACTCCTTCCTTTTTTGGAATCTCCCTGTGCTCTTGGTGCGGTGCAGTGGTCCCCTTGATTTGCACAGTGCGCCCGCCGGTTTGGCGGGAGCCGTGGCACCGGGTGTGCCCACAGGGCCCGAGGCCTGGGTCTCTGTCGTATCCTCGGGACTGGAGTTTACACGAAACTGGTGGCAATGGGAATCCGGGTGCACAGGGACTGTTTTCCTGGTGGGTGGCGTAGCAATGTCCTTCCTCCGGATAAAGCAGCCCCTGCGTTCTGGAGCGGAGGTCTTTGTTGGCGTGTGTGGCACTCGCTGCCCCTGCCCGTCCCTTCCCCCGGTTTGGAAGTTTCTGGCGGCGCCTGATGAGTGGATTGAATCGCCTGGGCGTTCCGGAAGTGGGTAGGCACCACAAACTGCAGGAAACCCGCGCCTGCACCTTTGGGGTCCGGTCCGGTGCCCTACCAGGCTGGAGCCGGTCTCCTGGCAGGGCGGCAGCGAAGCGGAAGCGGTGGGATGCTGCTGCCCCGTGGTGCTTTCGTGGCGGAAGCCCTGGAGGAAGTCCCCGGCAGCGGCGGGTGTGTAGGCGGGTGATAAAGTGGGAACAGAGTCAGGGGAGGTTGGGAAGCATGGCGACAATGGGGGGACTAACCAGGCCCGACCCTGCTTAGCTTCGGGACCATCCCGTCCTCCGCCCTGTCTCGGAGGTATTCTTTCGCATCCCTGGCCGCTCAGGAGCTCCTGCAAGGCCACCTCTTGCCCCACCCACCCAGAGCCGTCAAGGCTGGCCAAGGGCCAACAGTCAGACCAGCAGCGCCTGGCCCTTTTCTCAGAACGCCCCCACCACGGTGGCTTGTCCCGACCAAGACCCAGCTGGTGGGCAAGCGGGCGTGGGGTGTTCGGTGTTGGGGGATAACCCTGCTTTGCCCCTGGCTGGCACTAGAGCCGGAAACCTGATCCCCGGCGAGAGGGGCTGAGGCACACACAGACACACACACACACACACGCACGCACACACAAATGGCTTGAAGGAGAGCAAGGAAGAGATGGATGGAGAGATTGAAATCGAGGGACGGAGAGAGACAGCGATCGAGAGAGACAGGAGAGGGAGAGAGAGAAAGAGACAGAGAGGCAGAGAAAGAGAGAGGGACAGAGAAAGAGAGAGAGACAGAGAGACAGAGGGAAGGTGACAGAAGTAGCAAGAGGTGCAGGGGCAAACCCAGAAGAGAGAGGGTGAGGAAGCTAGAGAGCGAGAGTGATAGAGTCTTGGAGTGGTAGCGCCCTGCTCCCATAGGCAGGGCCCTTTTGGGCGGGCCGGGATAGGGTGGAAGGGGCTTGGGCTGGACCAGAACAGGGTGGCCAGGCCTTCCATGGGAGAAGAGCAACGGAGCGCTGACACGGGTGTTGTCTTGGATTAATTGCTTGTTTTGGAGGTGGGTTTAGTAGTCTCCTTCCTTTGTTGGCACCTCCCTGTGCTCTTGGTGTGGTGCAGTGTGCCCCTTGACTTGCAGAGTGTGCCCGACCGTTTTATGGGAGCCGTGGCACCAGGCGTGCCCATGTCGCCCCAGGCCTGGGAATCTGGCACGTCCTCAGGACTGGAGTTTACAGGAAGTTGGTGGCAATGGGAATCTGGGTGCACTGGGACTGTTTTCCTGGTGGCTGGCGAAGCAATATCCTTCACCAGGATAAAGCAGCCCCTGCGCTCTGGAGCGGAGGTCTTGGCTGGCCTGTGTGGCACCTGCTGCCCCTGCCTGCCCCTTCATCCAGTTTGGAAGGTTGCTGTGGTGTCCGATGAGTGGATTGAATGGCCTGGGCGTTCCGGGAGCTGGAAGGCACTGTGAAAAGCAGGGAACACACGCCTGCGCCTTTGGGATCCAGCCCCCTGCCCTCCCGGGCTGGAGCTCCTGGTGGGGCGGCGGTGAGGTGGAAGCAGTGGGATGCTGCTGCCCAGTGGTGCTTTGGTGGCGGACCCCAGGAGGAGTTCCCCGGCTGCCGTGGGGGAGGTGTAGGCGGGTGATAAAGGGGGAGCAGAGTCAGGGGAGGTTGGGAAGCATGGCGACAATAGGGTGATAGGAGGGAGGATGGAAGCCACAAAAGCCTACAGCAGGCAGGGCGCGGTGGATCACAGCTGTAGTCCCAGCACTTTGGGAGGCTGAGGCAGGTAGATCACTAGGTCATGAGATCCAGACCAGCCTGGCTAACACGGTGAAACCTCGGCTCTACTAAAACTACAAAAGCATGAGCCGGGAGTGGTGGCGGGCAGCTGTAGGCCCGGTTGCTGGGGAGGCTGAGGCGGGAGAATGGCATTGAACCCGGGAGGCAGAGCTTACAGTTAGCCAAGAACGGTGCCCCTGCACTCCAGCCTGGGTGACAGAGCAAGACTCTGACTGGAAGACGAAGGAAGGAAGGAAGGAAGGAAGGGAGGGAGGGAGGGAGGGAGGAAGAAAGGAAGGAAGGAGGGAAGGAAGGAAGGAAGGAAGGAAGGAAGGAAGGAAGGAAGGAAGGAGGGAAGGAAGGAAGGAAGGAAGGAGGGAAGGAAAGGAAAGGAAAGAAAGAGAAGAAAGAAAAAGAAAAGAAAGGAAGAAGGGAAGAAAGAAGAAAAAAAGAACGAAAGAGAGAAAGAAAAGAAAGAAGGAAAAGAAAGAAGAAGGAACAAAGAAAGAAAGAGAAAGAAAAGAAAGAAAGGAAGAAAGAACGAAAGAGAAAAAGAAAAAGAAAGAGAGAGAGAAAGAAAGAAAAGAAAGAAAGAAGGAAAGAAGGAAGAAAGAAAGAAAGAGAAAGAGAAAGAAAGATGGTAAGAAAAGAAGGGAGAGAAAGAAAGAAAAGAAAGACGGGAAGAAAGAAAAAGAAAGAGAGAGAGAGAGAGAAAGGAGAGAGAGAGAAGGAAAGAAAGGAAGGTAGAAAAGAAAGAAAGCAAAAAAACCTACAGCACCCGGTATTCACAGGTGGTCTCCCATCCAAGTACTAACCGATCATGCTCAGTTTCTGAGATCAGACGAGATCGGGCGTGTTCAGGGTGGTATGGCTGTAGAACCCGGCAGAGGAGCCTGGCTGCCCCAAGAGCCCGGCCCAGCCATGCCTGCCGGCTTCTAACCGGCACCGCCAGCCCGGGGCTGCCGGGCTCGCATCGGTACCCCGGAGCCGCTCGCCTGCGGTCTTCTCCAGCTCCTGAGCTCCCTAGCTTCCACCACATTGGGTCCGCTCGGAACAGGGAGTGCTCCGAGGCGTCAGGGCCCAGGGCCCATGATCCTGGCACCCCGTCCAGTACTCCGCCCTGTCGCGGAGATATTCTTTTGGATTCCTTGCCTCTCAGGGGCTTCTGTGAGGGCCCCTCTTGCCCCACCCACCCAGAGCCGTCAGGGCTGGCCAAGGGGGAACAGACGGACGAGACACGAGTGGCGTTTTTCTCACAACGCTCCCACCACGGTAGCTTGTCCCGAGCAAAACCCGGCCACTGGGCAAGAAGGCGTGGGGGGTTGGCGGTTGGGGGATGGCCCTGCTTTGCCCCGGGCCGGCACTAGAGACGGCAGCCTGATCCCCATCCAGAGGGGCTGAGAGAAACCCAGACACACCCCACCACCACCAGGAGCAAATCCACAGCCCTACACACAGACACACCGGGGCGCTCGCGCGCAGGAACACACACACGCACACGCGCACACAGACACACACACACACGTGCACGCACACACAAACGGTTTGAAGGAGAACAAGGAAGAGATGGATGGAGAGATTGAAACCGAGGGAGGGAGAGAGCGATCGAGAGAAACAGGGGAGGGGGAGAGGGAATGAGACAGACAGAGAGGCAGAGAAAGAGAGAGGGACAGAGGAAGAGAGAGAGACAGAGAGACAGAGGGAAGGCGGCAGAAGTAGCGCGAGGTGCAGGGGCAAACCCAGAAGAGAGAGGGGGACGGAGCTAGAGAGCAAGAGTGATAGAGCCTTGGAGAGGTAGCGCCCTGCTCCAGTAGGCAGGGCCCATTTGGGCAGGCTGGGATAGGGTGGAGGGGGCTTGGGCTGGGCCAGAACAGGGTGGCCAGGCCATCCATTCGAGAGGAGCAACGGAGCGCTGTGACGGGTTTTGTCTGGGATTAATTGCTTGATTTGGAGGTGGGTTTCGTAGGCTCCTTCCTTTGTTGGCACCTCCTTGTGCTCTTGGTGCGGTGCGGCGGGCCCCGAGATTTTCAGAGTGCGCCCGCCAGTTTAGCGGGATCCGTGGCACCGGGCGTGTCCACGGGGCCCGAGGCCTGGGTCTCTGGCGTGTTCTCCGGACAGGAGTTTACACGAAGTTGGTGGCAATGGGAATCCGGGTGCACTGGGACTGTTTTCCTGGTGGCTGTCGAAACAATGTCCTTCCCCCGGATACAGCAGCCCCTGCGTTCTGGATCGGAGGTCTTGGCTGGCGTGTGTGGCACCCGCTGCCCCTGCCCGCCCCTTCCCCGGGTTTGGAAGGTTGAGGCGGCGCCGGATGAGTGGATTGAATCGCCTGGGCGTTCCAGGAGCGGGAAGGCACCGCGAATGGTAGGGAACCGGCGCCTGCGCCTTTGGGGACGGCCCTCCCGGGCATCCCCTCAGTGAGCAGAGGGGATAATTTTGAATGGAATTGGAGGAAGGTTTGCCTTAATCAGTTTCCACTTTGAGTTTTCCTTAGTAATTTTGGGGTGCCAAGATACTTTCTTTTCACATATGTTACTCAAATAGCGCATTTACTGAAAAGGAAAGTGTTGTAATTAATTTATACCTCAGATCCCAACAGGTGATCTTAGATGAATACTGTCTTTCCTGTACCTTAGTTTTCTCCTCTGAGAGATGGAGATATCACAGCTACCTCACAAGCTTCTAATACAGATAAAGAGCCCAGGACAGTCCCATAGCAAGTAGCCATAGCTTTATTATCATTCGTTAGATAAATCAGATGTCCCAAAGAGTTTCAGAATGCAAGAGAATAGGCTCCATATAAGTAGAGAGCCATAAGGACATATTCACTACTCTAAAATGTTCTTTTATACCAACTAGCAACACTTGTGTCCTATGTTATCCTCACAGCAATCCTGCTCAAGTGACTATACTGAACTTTCTGAAACTACCGCAATTCTTTTGGTAGTCAGCCTCATAATCAGGAATTCAACAGTAACAAAGAAGCTCCTGCTCTGCTATCTCCGTATCACTGAGACAGGCCTCACTTGCTGGTTGAAGTTTCTGTTCAAAGCCACACTCAGGGTAGTGGTGATCTGGGAGAGCTCTCTGGCTCCTGGCCTTTGCTGTGCTGGATGTTTTCAAGCCTGAAATGGGATTTCCAGGCACTGCAGGTTGTATCCAAGATAATCAAGAGACAGAGGAGAGGTTCTAGCTCTTCAATCTGAAGTCAAACAACAACAACAAAAAAAAAAACTGTATCTTAAAATGTGATATGGGAGTTTGCAGAAGTATTTGACACCTGCATAAATAAATAAGCAAAGTCAACCAAGCCCACAAACACTAGGTAAAGAAAACCAAAACAGTTCCTCAGCTATAATAATAAAAATAATCTCCACATGGCATTGTAACTTATTGAGGACCTCCTAGTTTCCAGGAACAGTGCTGCACACTTTAAAGGCATTATCTTTGATCCTTAGAAACAAGCTGCCAGGTTGTGTTATCAGCCCCATTCTACATGTAGTAACAACAGCTAACTATTCACAAACCTATGTACATTTCTTCTTGTGTACTCAGCTAGAATCTATTCTCCAATTTCCCTTCCGGTTAGGTATGTCATATAAATTACTTTTGCTGACAGAATGTAAACTGAAATTATATGTACATTTTGAGATCAGGCGCATATAAACCTCCCACATGTAATGTTCTCTCTTCCCTAAATGTTAAATGGATATTGACAGAGTAATCTCAAAATACATGGATAAAAAGAGGCAGAGCCGCCATCTGCCTGGATCCTTGAATGACTATATGAAGCAGAGCAAGGACTCCTACTGTTACAGGAAAGGGGTCTCAATCCAGACCCCAAGAGAGGCTTCTTGGATCTCACACAAGAAAGAATTCAGGGCAAGTCCACAGAGGAAAGTGAAAGCAAGTTGATTAGGAAAGTACAGGAATAAAAGAATACCTACTCCATAGACAGAGCAGGCCCAAGGGCTACTGGTTGCACATTTTTATGGTTATTTCTTGATGATATGCTAAACAAGGGGTGGATTATTCATGCCTCCTCTTTTTATACCATATAGGGTAACTTCCTGTCATTGCCATGGCATTTGTAAACTGTCATAGCACTGGTGGGAGTGTAGCAGTGAGGACCACCAGAGGTCACTCTCATGGCCATCTTGGTTTTGGTGGGATTTGGTGGGCTTCTTTACTGCATCCTGTTTTATCAGCAAGGTCTTTATGACCTGTATCTTGTGCCATCCTCCAATCTCATTCTGTGACTTAGAATGCCTTAACCATCTGGGAATGCAGCCCAGTAGGTCTCAGCCTCATTTTACCCAGCTCCTGTTCAAGATGGAGTTGTTCTCATTCACACGTCTCTAACACTACCCCTCTAACCACTAAATCACCTTTATGTGAGTAAGAACCAAGTATTGTATTAAATCCATTGAGATTTGGGGGTTATATCAATTTGCTTTACCATAAGTAACACATTGAATATTAGAAACTGGGGAAGAGCCATCTTAGAAAACTGAAGATGTCTCAGCTTATAAAAACATACACATTAACTTTATAGCAAGGTTTGCTTTCCAAAGTGCTGTAAGATTCCAAATCTCTACTCATACATCCACCTATTCATAAAGAGAAGCCACACCATGAAGGAGCAAAAATAAAAACTTGTAGCCCCACTCTGCTTCTGTTTTTATTCCATTCATCCAAGTAAGGAAATTTAAATTGTTTAATTAAAAGCATTCTATGAGAAACTTAATATATGCATATGCAATTATATGTTTGTGTGTATATATATATTCATTCATTTGATATTCAATACTTTTATGAGGTAATGACTATTACCTCTTATTTTACAAATGAGGAAACTTGAACTTAATCCAGAAAGATCGGTAACTTGTTCGAAGTCCTTCAGCTAATAAGTGATGGAGCTGAAATGTGAATGCAGGCAGTTTGGCTTTGGAACTTGGACATGCAACCTCTATACTGTAGAGGGATGAAAATAAATAGAGTTAAGGAGATAAATCATAAAATGTTTAGCAATAGAATTATGATTCAAATATTCATCCAGTACAACTGTATTGGTTTTTAAGTTCTGGACTACTTTCACACCAGTGGGTAAATATAATAACAATGTGCTGAGCCTGCTGGTGCTGCTTCCCCCTCCTGCCCCAAACCTCATTGACTAAAGAGTTGATTTCCTCTTCCTCTAGGAAGCTCCAAGACTCTGTTCTAGTTCTATGTCTTATATTTCTTCTGACTACTTGACTCCCATATGCCATCTAGTTCTCGCCTATCTTGGATATTGTCCCTGAGTATAATGAGATGCAAATTCTGTGACATGCAATTCTAGATGCAAAAGTAGTTTATCCAATATCCACATATTATATCTGACCCCTACCAGAGTCAGGAATTACTTGATTCAGATATTAAAGTAGTATTGTGTGTGACATATGTGACTCAGGACAGAGCACAGAAGAAAATTTCACAGAAGCCAGAAAATCTCTACATTTGGAAAGAGATGAAACTAATTTTTTTGAACACTGGTCTAACCTGTGCTTACCGTTCTTCATCAGTACCTGACACTGACACTGTACACATTTAACTAATGTAAGACAGTTGTTAGTACATGACACATCTAACAAATGGGTATGAAAAATTGCCTTCCATTTAACTTGCCTGCTGTCCTCTTCTAGCTGGAGATATGCCTAGCAGAGAACAACGTTCTTTATGGGACTGATCTACGTATCTCAGATCATTCTGCATGCAATTTCTCTTTGGTTTGTACTTTCTCCCTCAAAATTTACCCTTTAGAATTGTGGTAAAAGAAGAAATAGGGGCCGGGCACAGTGGCTCACACCTGTAATCCTAGCACTTTGGGAGGCCAAGGTGGGTGGCCAACCTGAGGTCAGGAGTTCGAGACCAGCCTGGCCAACATGGTGAAACCGCCTTTCAACTAAAAATATAAAAATTAGCCAGGCATGGTTGCAGGCCCCTGTAATCCCAGCTACCCAGGAGGCTAAGGCAGAATCACTGGAACCTGGGAGGCGGAGGCTACAGTGAGCCAAGACCATGCCACTGCACTTCAGCCAGCCTTGGCGACAGAGCGAGACTCTTTCTCAAAAAAAAAAAAAAAAGAAGAAGAAGGAGAAGGAGAGGAGAAGGAGAAGGAGAAGCAGGAGGAGCAGGAGCAGGAGCAGGAGCAGACGGAGAAGCAGAAGCAGAAGCAGCAGAAATAGGCCTGTGGATAAAGTATGAAGTATTAGTCAAAAACTATTAGTTTAATAGAACAGCACTGCCATTAGAACTGTAACACTGAGCACATGAGCCTATAAAGTTCAAAGCCTTTTTACCAGGATAAAGTGGTCAAACACGTTGGTTTCAAACACCTCCTGGAGCCCATCAGCAGTAATTTTGTCATCTTGGGTCAGCGGTTCTTCAGCTATGGAGAATACATGAATCACCTTTCTGAAATAGATGATTTTAAAAAGAAAAGAAAAGAAAAGAAAAATAAATTTTACTCAATGTGCTATTTAGTTAAAAATCAAAAAGATGAACCGGGCATGTTGGTTCATGCCTGTAATCCCAGCACTTTGGGAGGCCGAGGCAGGTGGATCATGAGATCAGGAGATCGAGACCATCCTGGCCAATGTAGTGAAACCCTGTCTCTACTAAAATACAAAGAAAATTAGCCGGGCGTGGCTGCATGTGCCTGTAGTCCCAGCTACTGTGGAGACTGAGGCAAGGGGAATCGCTTGAACCCGGGAGGCAGAGGTTGTAGTGAGCCGAGATCGTGCCACTGCACTCCAGTCTGGTGACAGAGTGAGGCTCTATCAAAAAAAAAAAAAAAAAAAAATCAAAAAGTTGTTCCTTTCTGAGAGAATGGCTGTCTTTCTTTTCCGGTGCTTATAGAATACTTGAAACTGGATAATTTATAAAGAAATGTATTTCTTATGACGATTGAGGCTGAGAAGTCTAATGTCCAAGGAAAGGGCACATCTGTGAGGGGATTCTTGCTGGTGGAGACGTTCAAGAGTCCCGGGTGGTGCAGGACATTACACAGTGTGGGGGCTGAGGATGCTAATGTGCTAGATCAGATCTTTCTTCCTCTCACAAAGGCACCAGTCCCACTTTCATAAGAACCCATTAATCCATTAGCCCATTAGTCTGTTCCTCCATGACTGGGTTGTCTATTCATCTATTGATAAACTATTAGGTAGCCTCCAATCATTGTACCTGCCTCCTTGTGCACAAGTAGGCATAAGGTAGTTTGCTCTTTCAGGGTCCACAGGAGAGCACTACTGTAGCTGTAGATCTCTATGACTTAACTTCTGCTCTTTCTCTACAGCTTGTAAGGGCTCATGTGGCCCACCTGAATAATCCAGGATAATCTCCCTATTTTAATAACAACTGTACCGCATAACAATGCAATCATGACAGTAACCCAGCAAAGGTCATGGTGGACATTTTAAATTCCGCCTACTACAGCAGTGATATAAGACTCCGCAATTTTTTTTTTCCCGGTTACTAGCCACTTGTCCCAAAATTATTTTGAATAAATCACTGATACTATCAATTTGTTTGGTTGTTTGACATTTAGATTTCTGGATAATTCAGAAATATTCATGATTTGAGAGGAACTCAGCCCCTACCCTTCTCCCACTCAAACTCCTTCAAAGACAAGAGATCAGTATTTGACAACTCTAACTCTGAAAATGAGAATAGTCTTATTCCAGGGCCAGACCCAAAGGCTCAATGTGAAAGTTCCTGGATTCGGGGGTGTCATGTAAGGAAAGAAAGTGAGTGGAAACTTGGGTGTATGGCTGTCCCATGAAGACATGGCTCACCCTGTGGAAAACAAAAAGGGGTCCCAATCTTGGAGGTTTGATGCTCATCATAATGTGAGAATGACAGCTAGAAAAAAAACTGTGAGCTCCAGGAAGACTTGAAGGCATTGGAGCAAGGCCAGCAGCCTCTGCCTCCCACCATCACTTCCATCAGAACCAAGTAGGAAAGACCTAGTTTCTTGTTATCCCCAGAGACCTGGCACCTTTCACTAAAGAATTTGCTTTCAAGCTGCTGCAAACTTTGAACAATTGTCTGACCTACTAAAAGTAACAGAGAAGGACAGAACTCTAGATGACTGAAGAAATCATGCATTTATTAAAATGTATTATGTATAGGACAGTTATCATGATACTATCATTTTGTTGAGGTCTCTTTGTGTACTTTTGATACCAGCCAGGTTCATTCTACCTGCACAGTAAATAAATTACTGGGGCAATGGGTTTTTGCAAAAGAAAAGATTAATTAGACATCCCAGCAAGGAGGTGGGACAACAGCTCTCAAATCCGCCTCCCCAAAGATAGGAAATATTTATGGATTAGAGAAGCGGGTGGTCTAAGACATGGGGAAAGGTGAATGGCAGTGGGTAAAAATGAGGTAATCAGTGATCTATGCCAGCATTATCGGGGTCCATGGCATTTCACAGGATATATGTCTCAGATCAGCATTAGCATGATCTGAGAATGGTGTTTTTGCCTCTGACACCAAAAGGCTCCCTCTCAGGTATGTACACATGCCTAGTTGAAGGGTACATAGTCTCAACTGGTTTGAACTGGACAGGAGCTGCCCTAAGTTCCTAAAAAACAACTGAAATGACCACTATCATGTGACTTATGTTATCTGTAAGGTAGCCAGTGAAGGTTAGGTACAGCATTCAGTGGTGCAGCCTTCAGCTACCATGCCTTCAGCTTCAGGGAAAAACAAAAACGAAAGCAAAAGGCAAACAACCAAAAGCAAGCAGGGCAGGATAAGTTTGGTGGACTAATCAAATTAAGCCCTTGGTTTTACTTTCAATAACTCCTATGTTTTCATCTTGATTTTTGTTGTGTTGATGTAGATATTTTAGTTTCTGGACATGGAGAAGCATCACCTGGTCATGATAACCCTATTCCTGGATAACCATTCATACATTTTCTCGATAAGAATCTGACAGATCTATCTGTGGCTGATTATTTGCTATTTTTTTCATCCACTTCTACCCTGAACTTTAAAATCTAGCTCTAATTCCCACCATGTGCCTGAACTAAGTCCTTGAAGGCCAAGAATAAAATGATTTATTTTTAGCCCCTTATAACAGAGAACTTGTAGTTCTCTGTAGATGTCTCTGGAATGAAGTTGCCTCCAGTTTCAAGCAGGGGGAAAGTACTGCCTTGACTCAAACACTCTCCCTTTGTTTCCTTTCCCTCCTATCATTCATCTCTCTTCTTTTCAAATCCCCATTTATCCGGCCTGGCTCACAACTAATGTGTGGGATAGGATTTTTTACATTGTTATAAATGATAAGTAATCAATTCTTACTCATATGGCACATATAATAAATCATTTTTCCTGGGTGCTTGTGAATATATTTCTTTCAAATGTGGAATATAAATGATAGTTTAGAGATCACTTTGCAATCAAAGATACAGAGAATATAGAATCATTTTGACTGTTAAATACAGCAGAGTGGGATAGTGTTACTTCCTAGCCTAAGAAAGAAAATAAATCCATGCATAGCCTATATCTAAAGCATCATCCGTGTCATCTACCCACATTTAAACCTATTTATGAGTCACTAACAAAAAATGTTTCTCGAACATCCAGTCTCTGAGATTTTTCTTTTCCACTGTAAACCGCTCTAAAACCTCCTATAATTCCCTTCTTTGAAACAGGAGTCAAATAAGACAGTGAGGAATAACTTCCAGCAATGGTGAGATGAGCTCTCTTTAACCCGGTGGATTACTTTCCATTTTCAACAGTCCTTTATGTATATTGTCATGGTTATTAAACATAATAAGTAAACAAGACTGGTCAGATAATGAAATTTGTTCACATTTTCAGGTGCCAGACAAGAAATATGGATTATTGTGTGGAGTTCCATTAGTAGGAATAAGGCTCATTCTACATTCTTGTTGTTCTTTGTATTTTTTGTTTTTCATGAGAAGGAATTGTATCAGCACAAGGCAATATTCTAACATGACGATGACAGCAGACAGAAACTCAATAAACTCTTGACTTGGTACTGCAAACACCACTTCAAATTAAGATCGAAATTGTGATAGAGTTTGTTTGTTTTTTTGTTTTTTTTTCAATATGGCTATAACAAAAAAAGTTGATTAAGGCTATAAATGTCAAGGAGCATGATACCTTTATTAAAATAAACCTTTGTTTAATCAATTGTTCATGTATTTATTTATACAACAAGCAGTAATCGAGTGCCTACTATATGCCTTGCACTAATAGTAGAGAAACAATGTTTTTAAAAGTCCCAATCATCTTGGAGCTTATACTTTGGTAGGTTGAAAGGCAATAGACAAGATAAGTAAAATACATATGTTAGATAGTAATAAGCAGCAAAAAGGAAAAAAAAAAAGGTAGATAAGAAAGATGAGAACATATGAGGGGCATGATGAAATTTTAGACTGGGTGACCAGAAGGCTTTGCTGAGAAGTGAAGCAAACAAAATGACGGAAAAAAAAAAAAATGTTTGAGTTGACAACTACAATAACCACCATCCCCCATGCCCAAGAAAACAACTACAAGGGAGAAGAAAATACTAACCCAATGAAACAGAATTAAAAATATCCTTAAACAAGCATTTGGCGACATTAAAAAATACCATGCATCAAAAATTTTAAAAACAGAAATAGACAAAGAACAGGAAGAAATAAAACAAAAACTGATTATACTCAGGAAAGAAACAGAAGAAAGTAAAATCATACAGAAATAAAGATGGAACTAAAAAGTGCAGAGAAGTCTTGCTTTTAATTATAGCAACGTACCCCACCCACAGACCATCCTTCCTGAAGAACAACTATTAACTGTGGACAAAAGGCAAAAAAAAAAATTACCTTAGAATTCCAAAGAAGAAACAACAGCAGGCACAGTGTGGAGGAGAGCCCATGAGACATTCACCAAAGCTGGCCATATCCTGGGCCATAAAACAAACCTCAACAAATGTAAGGGTAGAGAAATCAGACAGAATGTGTTCTCCGACTATAATAGAATAAAACTGGAAATCAATAACAAAAATACAGTCAGAACTCAATAACAAGTTTTTTAAATCTCTAAAAATATGTATATTAAACAACATTTCTAAGTAATTCATGAGTAAAGAGAAAGTATCAAAGGAAATTAATAAAAATATGTACAACTTAATAATGTGTCCAAAAATCTGGCATGCGGCTAGAATAGTGCTAAGAAGAAGTTCATAATTAAGCTTTTACAGCAAGAAAGTAGAGAAAGAAGAGCAAAATAAATCTAAAGCAAGCAGAAGGAAGGAAATAGAAAAGATCTGAGCTGAAGTCAGTGAAATTGATAATAGGAAAACAATTGGGAAAATTTAGCAAACAAAAGTTGGTTCTTAGGAAAATACCAATAAAATTGAGAAACTCCTAGCAAGACTGACAAAAAAGAAAAGAAAAAAAAGAGAAGATACTGACATCAAGAATGAATTAGAGAACATCATTACAGATCTTGTAGCCATTAAAAAGATACTACTACAAGCAACTTTTACGCTAATAAATTTGAAAACTTAGAAATAATTGACCAATTCCTTAAAAAGCACAAATGACAAAAACACAAGATAAAACAGAAAATCTGAATAGTCTTATAATCATTAACAATTACATGCATAATTTTCAAGATCCATAAACTAAATCTCCAGGCCCAGATGGTTTCACTGGTGAATTCTACCAAATATTTAAAGAAGAATTAACACCAATGTTACATAATATCTTCCAGAATACAGAAGATGAAAGAACACTTCAACTCATTTTCTGAGGTTGCTATCGCCAAATAACCAAACCAGTCAAAACCAAAAAAAAATACAGGCCAATGTCTTTCATGAACTTAGACACATAAATTCTCCATAAAATATTAGCAAAACAAATCCAACAATGTTAAAAAGAAATGATTTGTTTTTGGTAAAGACAGCATCCCACTATGTTGCCCAGACTGGTCTCTAACTCCTGACCTTAAGCAATCCTTCCACCTTGGCCTCCCAAAGTGCTGGGATTACAGGCATTAGCTAATCCACCCAGTGATTTTTGTCAGTAATCTATTGTCTCCAGTTGTTTTTGCAAGTTAGTTTCTTTGGTTCTCTGCAGTTTCACTACGTCTAGGTTTTTCTTTATCTGTGTCTATCTTGTTTGGAACTTGCCATTTTTCCTGAATCTGATGATCATGGCTTCCATCAATTCTAACAACAAAAAGAAAAAAGGAAAAAAAAAAAAAAAACCTCAGTCTTCATCTCCTCAATGTTACCTCTTTCCCATGTTCTCAGTTCTTTCTAGAATGCTTATTAGAAGCATTTGAGATGTCTCACTCTATCATTCACATGTTAACTTCTATATCCTCAAAACCCAACAGTGCCTGGCATGTGGTCAGTGCTCATCTGTGGAACGAATGAATTATACTAAACCCATTGGAAATCAAAATAAATGCACCAGATCAAGGCAGAAATCAGGCATCTGCTGAAATCCAACTTCCTAGCAGTTGAATCTTTAACCTACTACTCCAGTCAGATACAAAAAGAGTTAAATCTGGGATTGTTTAATGAAAGGAACCAATTGTACAGGTACACCATTTGGGAGTGTGGGAAGGGAGTGCTCCCTGTTTTGAGGAAATTGGATAAAATGGCTCAGAAAATACGTACAGAACCAACCTAGGGACACATCATCAATGACATGAAATCAAGATTGGTTCATGTTTAAAGTTTCCTTTTGGGTACTTAATTTGCATTGGCTGTGCACCTACTAGAATATTATCACAATTCTGCAAGGTAGGCACTGGCATCAATATTTTATGTAATTAAACTGAGGTATAAATTGAAGTAACTTGCCCAAAGTTATACAGCTGGTCTCGAACTCCATACAGATAGTTAACTGGCTAAATCCAAATCTGATCCAAGGTCTGCCCAGCCCTAAAGCCCATACTCCTCCCACCATGCCCTGCCACTTGATCAGATGCTGCCTACCGGGTCAAACTTGGAAAACTGAAACAACTCTATCAGATAGGAAGTCATCACTTAGTGCCTTACATTATAGTGTTTGAACCATGACATTCTGGCTTATCAATCTCTAATAAAAATTATTACAATGTGTTAAAAAGCTCTTTATTCATTCACATATATTATTGCATTAAATGTTCACTCCATACCCATGAGTAGAAGCAGCAAAAAGATAACCACTCCACTTTACATATGAGGAACCTGAGATTCACAACACATAATGTGCTTCTTCCAAATTTACAATGTGAGTGAATGGAAGAGTGAAAAACAGCTCGATTTCAGGTCAGCTTCACCCTTCTCTCCCAAAGACAGTGGACACAGTGGTGTGCAGCTCTCATTTTCACTTATAGAATGTTTATAGAAAACCTTTAACAACAGAATTAGAGAAACTAATCAAAAACTTCATAAACTGTGAAGAAATTATATATCTTTTTTACTTTTGTTAACTCATTCAAAATTTTACTGACTTTAGATTTCAGGCATTACATTGGTTATATTTACAGTAAAAGTATATGGCATTTTATCATTTTTTTTCATATCAAGTGAGGCCTGGGGTGTGGTTCTTTGAAAATTTATAAAGAAAAAGTTTGCATAATTATCTGATACATGTAAACTAAATCTTCACCACTTTCCTCTACTACTATAGTGTACCTTACGCCAGCAGTTACCCAATTAGAAAATTTTATCGAAACTTAATGCGAGTTTCTCGTTGCAAGTTTACAACTATTAAGATATGATCATGAAAATGGGTTGGTCACTAATAAACAAATTTGCAAATAGTGTTAAGGATCAGGCCCAATATTAGCATGAACTCCTTCAGAATCAATAAAAGATATTTTTTAAACCAAAAATAATTCAAGTCACCCAAAAATGTATCTATTTCGTTTTTGTTATTAACCACATGGACACCACATGAGGACTGTTTGGATTCTAACAATTTTAAGATTGTCAGAAGCAGCATATGGAGGAAGAAATAGTGCAAAAGAACTAAAAACATTGCTCGTAAAGCAACAAAGTTCCAATTGCCACTCAAATAGTTGGCAGTACTTCCTTTTGCTGGGGGCAGGCCAAAGAAAGGAGCAGTGTGTGCCTGTGTCACAATTATTCAAGTCCACCTCTTGTCCCATGGAGCACAGCTTAGGCTCCAGTTGACAGAATAATATAAACAGATATTCTGTTGGATGACTTGATTTTATTTTTACATAAAATCTTTCAGAACTCTAATAATTTTGATGTGATACCATTCTAGAGAATAACTAATATTTTTACTTTATCAATTTTTAATTTTAGAGATGGAGTCTTGCTCTGTCACCCAGGCTGGAGTGCAGTGCCGTGATCCTGGCCCACTGCAACCTCTGCTTCCTGAGTTCAAGCGATTCTCCTGTCTCAGTCTCCCAAGCTAAGATTACAGGTGCACGCCACCACACGTGGCTAATTTTTGTATTTTTAGTAGAGATGGGTTTTTGCCATGTTGGCCAGGCTGGTCTCAAACTTCTAACCTCGTGATCTGTCCACCTCAGCCTCCCAAAGTGCTGGGATTACAGGCTTGAGCCACTGTGCCCGGCCCAATCTTTTTCTCATATGCATACAAGCATGCACACATACACATTCTCGGAGATAATTCCAAAAGGAAGGAAAATAGACAGTCATAGTTCATAGTTTATTACAAATGCATATTATCCAACATGATAGAAATCCACATGCCCCAGAATGTACAAGAAGGTATGCAATGTTCCAGAGTATCATTGTCAGTTCTGGTGTTATATATATATATATTAAATATACATATTTTTTGAGACAGGGTCTCGCTGTCACCCAGGCTGGAGTGCAACGGCACAATCTCAGTTCACTGCAACCTCCGCCTCCCAGCCTCAAGAGATCCTCCCACCTCATCCTCCTGAGTAGTTGGGACTACAGATGCATGCCACCACACCCAGCTAATTTTTTTATTTCTTTTTGTAGAGACAGGGTCTCACTATGTTTCTCAGGCTGGTCTCGAACTCCTAGTCTCAAGTGATCCTTCCGCCTTGGCCTCTCAAAGTGCTGGAAATTACAGGCATGAGCCACTGTGCCCAGCCTGATTATCTGTCTTTTGAATAGTGACCCTAATGTGCTTTTCCAGTTCCAGTAACTTTTGATAAAATTTTTCAGCAGTGTCTTCATCTAGGTCCATCTGGAAAAGAAGCAAAAATAAAGATGTCTAGAAAGGAAAATTAAGATGAATAGTATTTGTATAAAAGAAAGTCATTCAATATATGAAACAAAAAGAAAGGAGGCAGCAGGAAAGGGCCATGGTGGCAGACACGTGGGGACTGTCAGGAAACTGAGAGCCTGAAGACATACTAAATGTCAGTCTCAGTTCCAACACTCACCAAACCCACTGATGCTTCCCTTAAACAGCAAGACTGAAAGATCCGAGTTTTGCTATCTCCCCCAACTTCTATATGCCCAGGAAACAGAAGACACCAACCAACTGTGATATCAAAGGACAAAACAGAAAAATCAAGAGTTTCGTGAATTTCTAATGGCTACTCACTTCCTAATATCCATCTGGCTTAGTAAAAAAGCCCTGGTTTGAGCTGGGCTCACGGCCCTCTAGATAAAAGATGATACTTCAGCCCCTGTTGAAACAATGGGTGCCAGAGCCATGAGACTATGTTCTGGCCAGTGAGATGTAAATAATACCTGGAGTCTCTTCAAGAGAAATAAAGCATCCCTTTTTTCTTCCCTTCTTCCATACCACTCTCCAGCCGCAGGCCTGAGGGCCACGCCCTAATGGCCAGGTGGTGACTGCAAGGAACTTGGGTTCCTGACAATTTGTGGAGCTGCCATGGCAGCCTGAGACTGCCTCTCTCCTAAATGCTTTTACATGCAAGAAATTTAAGATTCTATCTGGTTCAATCCATAATTATTTTACATTCCTGTGTTTCATGCAGGAAATCTCGACAGTATGTAAAGGCAAACTTTCAGCTCTTTTAAAATAGCGGTATCCTTTTTTCAAGCCAACACAGAGCCAAAACTTCAGGAACAGCCTCTTTGTTCACAAAACTGAAAGGCTAAAAATTAAATAAACTTTTGAACATTTTGAAAATAACATTTATTTTCAATCATGTTAGTTTTTCTATAATGGAACTGGAAGAAGCATTACAGAACTCTTCTAGTTCAACCCCATCTTTTAACAGAAGAGAAAGCTGACTTACCCAAATAATCAAAGGTTAAAATACTTTCTTCAGTGCATTTCCATAAAATGCTAATGAGTATGTCAGTTTGTAGAATTAAACATTTTTTCCCTTGATAAACAAAACATTCCCTCTAAGTTAACAGACAGTAAGTTCAAATACACTCTGCTAGCCTAAAGTAAGTTATTAGTTTATAATAGAATTCCCCAAAGGGATGTTACAGGTTATGTAAAATTTGGTTTAAAAAAAATCCATGGTGAGGAACTGAAAACAGCGGGATTAAATATTTCACACACATTTCTTAACTGTTTCAACTTCTCACAGCCTTTACTTTGCTGACGTATGCTGTACAAGTCTCTGAAAGAGGGGAATGTAATATGAAGCATGGTTCAATTTTACTTGCTACAGGAACTGCTTCTTGCAAATCTTCTCAAGAAACTAGTATCCCACAGAATGTATTTTGAAAAACCTGGAAGGTTCACTTTTAGTGAACAGATAGCACAGGAAGCCAAGTGCATGGCTCCCCTTTCAGCTCATGCTACTAACAGACGCCAAGATCGATGCCAGTTACTTGACTTACCTAACGGTCACCTCAATCTTATTTTATCTTAAGCTAATACCTCCTCACAACAGGCTGGATCGTGGAAAATCGAAGGCTGAAATAAACCTTAGTCATGACAAAAGTATAACAAAGTACTTCTCTCAGTTTAAAATAAATGTTCTCATTCCCCAGTATGTAACTCTATGTTTGATTTCATTTTAGATTACACCAAGTCTAAAAAACACAGTACTGATTTGATTTTTTTTCTGCACATTATCCTGCTCCTCTTCAAAACACCAATCTATTAAAGCTGATAATTGTCACAAGCAGAATTGAATACTCAAAGGGAAGTTAAGTTCACACAGAAAAACACTTCCTATTTCATCCAACTTGCAACGTATTTACTGAGCGTCTACCATGTGTAAGGCAGTCCGCTAGGAAATGGGGTATGACTCTCCTCCTCACAGAGCTTACATTCTGACAGAGGAACCCGAAGGTGAACAAGCATGATCTGCAACAGGTACAGGATGTCAAGAAAGCCTACCACAGAGGCACCCAGGCCTGGTCTACAGGGTCACTAAAGGCTATGGGATAAGCTGATCTGAAGGATGAGCAGAAATTAATCATCAAGAGGCTGAGAGCAGCTTAGGTCAGGAGAACAAGATGTGCAAGAAACAGGAGAGAGCAGGATGAAATAAAATCAGGCCAGTGTGATGCTGGTGAACAGTGAGTACTCAGAGAAGGGAAGCTGCGGGGCTGAGGGGCTGGTCAGGAACACGGGCTTAATTCATCAACCCAGCAGCAAACATCAGTGCAACAATGTAAGCACATTTACCTTCTGGGTCATAATGTAATTTCTTCCAAAGCCAGTGGTGGCACTGAGATATTTGATCAGAGGATTGAGAGATTCGGGCTTTTGGTGGAAAAGCCATACCTGGAAAGGAAGGATGTGTCAATGATTTGTTTCTTCTGCCCAAGGTGAGTGAGGCTGGTGGAGATTCACAATCAGCACTTTATAGAGCTCCCCAGACAAATTATAAACATCCTCTCAAATATCATCAGTGAACGGTTTAGCAAATGTATTGAGAACTAATTAAAATATAGTTTAAAAGCACTTGCTTCTATAATCAATTTGTGTTCCTACAATAAACACATTTATTTCTGTAACATTTACCAAAACAAGAGCATCAAAGCCAATTCCATTTATGTTTTCCTTAGCTAATTTCAATTAAGTCAAGATTTAATAATCTACTAAGTACTACAGTGCTAGGTCCTTAGGTTTCCAAAGTGAATAGCAAAATTCCTGAAGGAGCTCAATGGAATGAGGGAGACAAACATAAAGAACTGACTCAGATACAATGGGTTTTTAATGTAGGACAATTCTGATCCATTAGTAGAGGCTGCCTCTGGAGCTCTGGGTTGAAGAATATTCAGAGACACCACTTGTGTACAACAGAAAGGAGTATTATAGCCCATTAGTAATGTCTGCCATTGATGAGGAAACACACGCAACCCATTTGCCATGTGTGATTTAAGGAACTCGACTGGCTTCCTAATAAAATAACAACTTGATCCTCTAAGAAAGGGAAGAAAATCTTCATAGAGGGGAATGGTGTTGAACTTTGTTATCTTGGCTCTTGACCCACAAGATGCTCTTTCTCCGTGGGAAATCACGGACTGATTGTGCAGTCATCGTCCTGCTTTGCCTGCCCCTCCAGCTTTCCACTGCTCTGTCTCTCCTCCAGCTGCTGGTGTATCCTGCCTCTAAAGAAGTGTTTTCCCTATAGTCATGGTGCCCAGTGCCATGGTAAATGTCAAACTTGCAAACTTCACTCCTAATGTTCTGCGCTTAGCCTTATAGTCCGCTTTAGCTCCAAACAGGACCCCGATTATTCACAGAGCTTATTCTCTTATTATCTCTTCTGTCGAAATTATTTCTACCACAAGTGAACCTGTAATTCACATCTGCTAAGCCATCATACAAGTTATAAAAACTTCAGTAACATACCAGCGCTTCTGTTCCATTGTATGGTGTCAAAGTGAATGCATTTGCAAAAAAGCGAAGCTGCAGAAAACAACAGTTATTTTTGTGGTAGTTTAGAATACAGTCACAAAATAATTATTCATTTAAATATTAAAAAAGAAAACTTGCCTTTCTGATTATAGAACATTTTTTAAATAACAAAAAATAGAGGTCAAAAAAGAAACATCACTTAATCTCCATACTCCAAATCAACCACTTTTAACACGAAGGTCTATTTACTTCTGATCTTTTCTTTATGCCTGCCCTAAAGGAGAGATATTTCTTCCTGAGCCCTAAAGGGAGAATCATTTCCTAAAAATAGCATTTTTCAATGTGTGCCAGAGAAACGATGGTCCTGCAAGATGTTCAAATCACGAAACAAAAATATGGTTCTATAGTTACATAATGTACAATTATCCCCTTTTTGGGAACTTTTAATGCGCATGACCACTTTGAAAACTTAGAGAAGTCCAGTTTAACCATGTTTAACATGGGTTTTCTGAAATTATATGATTACAGAACTCTTGGGATCTGTGGTGCATGAGCAATGAAACATTCCTTTAAAGAGAAGTGGACACTCAAATGGTGGTGTGGCAGTAATACTTAGAAATATTAAGCAGAGGTTTCACATTTAGTAAGTTCAAAACCTCAAGTTAAATGGCATTCAGGTTCATTCCTTAAATCATTTCCCAACCCTTAAACACATCTTCCAGGTCCCAAAAAGAGATTTTATGAGCTAAGAAAAGAAGTATTCATCACTTACTAGCAATATTGCCGGCATCAACAGTGTCCATATAAAGGGAGGCAGAATTCCATATGTCAAATTGGTCAGTGCTGTACCTGGACACACCACATTGGAATACAGACCCTAGGAACAGACAGGGGTAGCAATAAGACTTTAACTTAATGTATATTGACTCAGTCCAGCTACATGCTAGTTAATAAAAGAGGTATGTACATGAGCCAGAAGTCAGGTAATAAAGAATTTACGTTTTGAGTTGTCTCTGAAGGTGGGTAAAACATTTATGTTGAAGAATCATGTATTAAGAGAACCCACTGTGAGAGGCACCCAGGATGTAAAAATTAGTAGGACAAAGTCTCTATTCTCATGAACCTTGCAGTATAAAAAATAACCAATCTTAAAGCTGGGGGAGAAAAGCAGGGCCTGGTTATCTGAGTTTTCCCTATTATTGGCTTAACTGAAGATCAACTTTTCAATAATCATGAGCATTTACGATTAAAAGATGTACAGAGTACAGTCCTTGCCTTCAAGAAGTTTCTGGCCTAATAAATAGACAGTTAAACCTAAAGTATGTGTCTGTTTCCCTGCAGGTACATAAGACCCATACGTCTAGCTTGAGGTGGGTGCTCCCGGCATCAGGCTGTATGTGCTGTCACTTTCTCCAACTGAAGATCTCTAAATCAGGTCCTTAGCCTAGAACTCATTTTAGAAAGTTCCACCCTATAAAGAGAGCCCCAATTAACACAGAGCTTATTTAATCTAAAGGGTCCTAAGTGATCTATAGTTAAGCCCTGGAGCCCTGGGACTATCATGAGGATAAGTCTTAGCTCGTGACTTTTTTCTAGAGGATTGCTGGGAAATCAAGGGGACTCTCAGGGATGGCTGATCCATGTCAGGCAATGCCAAGACTCTGCAGCACCAAATAAAGGAGGAAAAGCCTCCAGGTTCTGTTGCTTAGGGTGCTATCTGTTCATTGAACTGTCTGTTACAGACAGAACCTGAGAATCCCCTTGATTTACCAACAATCCTCTAGAAAAAAGTCAAGAGCTAAGACTTATCCTCATGATAGTCCAAAAGTTTTTCCTAAGAAAATAATGTACTCTGCCCCCAAAACAGCTAAGGAAAAGTTCTTATTCTAGGAACTACCTAGGAACACTTGTGGACTATTCTGTCCTAAATGAAGAAATCTTCAAACTAAAATCCAGGGTTTCCAACATATATAATTTTCTGATGTTGAGAGATAAAAAAAGAAAAAAAGAAGAAGACAATCTTAACCAAGACTGTATCCTTCCATTTGTTTAATTATAGGGATTAAATTGTGATGATCCTGAGTATTTCTATATGGCTTGAGTCGGGGAGGATGCATGGATGATTCAAGTCTATCAGGCAGTCTATATAGAACCTGACAACATTTCCAGTAACACAGGGCTTCAAAAGGAATACTGTAATGTCATTCTTTCTCAGCTGCTTCTTTCCTCATAAAGGCCAGGGAGAAAAAAGTCATTGGCTGAGAACCAATCTCAACAGATTTTACAAGCAATAGCTAAATCTCCCTCTTTCATAAAAGATAGAATCCCAAACCTTACTTGATAACTGAGACTTAAATAGAATCCTAGACCTTTCTATGAAAGGAAAAGCTAATTCCTCTAAAAGGGAGTTCTCAGAGTACCAGGAAGCAGTTTTGACAAGTTTTTAAACGTCTCAAGAAACTTCGGAAGGAGGTGCACAATGGGGCCAACATGCTGAATCCAACCTGCAATATTAACAGCCTATACAAGAACACGTACAGGCATCTGCAGACCACATGCACCAACGCCTACACATGTGCACACACCCAAAAAATACATGCACAAACACATGTGCACACACCCTCAAAACCCATACACGTACATATGAACCCCCTACACATGGGTAGGCACACAAATACATATACACGCTCATGCATATCCACATGTATGTATTTGTACAGACACATGCACACACAAACTCACATTCTGAATACAAAGCACTGCTGTGAGTGCTTCATCCAGATCCCCTCAGTCCATCTTCCCAATAAATCTGTGAGGCAGGCACTATTACTATCCCTATTTTTCAGATGAGGAAACTGAGGCATAGGGAGATTAAATAATATGCCTAGGGTTACAAAGAGTCAGGATTCAAATTCAGTCCTAGAAAGTATGCTCTTAGCTTCAACTTTATAAGAGGCATGATTCAGGCTGGGTGCAGGCGCTGTAATCCCAGCACTTTGAGAGACTGAGGCAGGCAGATACCTGAGATCAGGAGTTCGAGACCAGCCTGGCCAAAACAGTAAAACCCTGTTTCTACTAAAAATACAAAACGTGGGTGTGGTGGCACATGCCTGTAATCCTAGCTACTCGGGAAGCTGAGGCATGAGAATCACTTGAACTCAGAAGATGGAGGTTGCAGTGAGCTGAGATTGTGCCACTGCACTCCAGCCTAGGCAACAGAACGAGACTCTGTCTCAAAAAAAGGGGGGGCATGATTCTAAGAGCCAGATCACAAAATACCACCTGATAAAGGTAGCCATTCCAGAATAAGCCAGGTCTAGACTATCACATAAGGCTTATATTTCTATGTCTAATTCATGATCCAAGAAGCTCCCTTGAGGGAAAACATAATTCTTGGTCATCTTTTTATTTCACTTTTCTCCTCAACCCTAAACCTGGCCCAGTGCCCTAAACATGATAAGTCTTTTATAAGTTAGTGAAATTAAACTTCTCCATAGCCCCATACTCATACAACACTGTTAATCAAAGCAAACAAAAGAAAATGTCCAAGGGGAAGACTGGAGATTTTCAGGTAAGAATTTAGACCTGGGCAACAGAGAGATAAAAGAAGCAGTAAACTGCAGACCATAGTGGCCACAAGGACTCAGTATGACCAACAAGGGTCACCATCCCCTGTAAAACATCCTATAAACTGAGATCCTCATAGAGACAGAGCTCTGGGAGTCTTACCTAAAACCACCACTATCCAGAAGGTTTTATAACTACTTCACTGTCCTATAAACATCTGCTATGACAACCACTAGGAGGCAGCATGGTGCAGGGGGAAAAGTCCAAGCCATAAAGTCAGCCAGCCTCGGGCTCAATTTTGAGCTCTACCATTTACAAGTTGTGTGACCATCGGGCAAATGACTTAAGTTCTCCGAGATTTAGAGTCCTCATCTGAAAATGGTTATACTTAAACCCACCTCCATATAATGAGGCAGGTATTTAATAACACACACAGATGAATACAGAACCTGAAACACAGCAAGTACCAAAACAGTAGTTATTATCACTTTTAGTAGTGTCACTCTGTTAACATAAGTTAGAATTCCTGAAGAACCACAGAATGATGAATGAACTACCTGTAACTAAAATGTCAGGAGCTAATTATCTCTGCCCTAACATTTTCGTATACACCAACTATCAATCTAAACTACAAGAGTTAGTGGAAAGCCAGCTACCTTACTAGGAAATCAATAGTAGGTAATTAAGAGAACCTGCCCTGCCATTTCCATATCACTGAGATGGGCCTTACCTGCTGGTTGAAGTTCCTGTTCAAAGCCACACTCAGAAGGTCAGTGGCATATTTGGAAGAACTGTAGGGCTCCTTGCCTTTGCTGTGCTGGAAGTCCTCGAGGCTGAAATTAGATTTCCTCGCATTGCGAGACGATGTCCAGATGAGCTGAGATGGACTGTCACTGTGACAAAGGAGAGGCTCCAGTTCCCGAATCTGGGTGAAAGAAAAAAAAAAAAGAACAAAAAAGTATTAAAATATACTGGCAGAATACAGATAACAATTTTGAAACCACTGTACATCTATACTGAAATTGAACAATTAGGAGGGAGGATGGTGGGAGTCAGGTTTGTCACTGTTGAAGTGAGACATCACAAATAAGCATGGGGAGGAAGCTAGAATGATCTATATGGTAAGAGATTAGGGTCAGAGACATCAGTATTAACTAGTTATCTAAAAGAGACATGAATTAGTTACATAGAAAAATATTTATAGATATGCATACATACATGAGTTAGTACGCTAGTATGCACACACATATCTCTGTAGTCTATTAGCACAGAGGGTTTAGAAGACACTGATCTCTCAGTAGCAATAAGCACCCAGATCTTGGTTTCTAATAACCATTCTCTGATAAAAGAAAACATATGTCTTTAGAAAAGTATCTGATTCTAGGACTGAACAAGGAAACACATAAGATGATTCTGAAGCATCTTGTGGTGCCAGATAGTAAGAAACTGCTCAAAATGAAAGCTAAAACAAAAACAGAAAACCACAATGATGGGGGTGTGCCAAAGAGATACAGGAGCCAACTGAAAGAGCTCCCAGTGGCTAAAACTGAAAACATTTGAGCAAGAAAATAAAATAGTATTTATAATTTCAAAGCAGGAAATACATATTCATGCGTCCATGTGGAAAAAATAAATGACTGAATAAAGACATAAATAAAAGAGAACAGACAAATCTCCCTTGCAGGAAAAAATCCAAACAATTTCTGTAGATAACCCACTCTCTTAAGGAGGTAAAGCATTAGCCAGTATGCATTGGCTGCACATAGTAACTTTCTTTCTTTTTCTCTTTTTTGAGACGGAGTTTCACTCTTGTTGCCCAGGCTGGAGTGCAGTGGCATGATCTCGGCTCACCGCAACCTCCGCCTCCTGGGTTCAAGCAATTCTTCTGCCTCAGCCTCCCGAGCAGCTGGGATTACATGCATGTGCCACCATGCCCAGCTAATTTTGTTTTTTGATAGAAATGGGGTTTCTCCATGTTGGTCAGGCTGATCTCCAACTCTCGGCCTCAGGTAATTCGCCCGCCTTGGCCTCCCAAAGTGCTGGGATTACAGGCATAAGCAACCGTGCCCGGCCCAACTTTCTCTCAAAAAGTAGAGTATGAAAGGGGAGAAAGAAAAAGTAACTTAACAATGGAGAAACCTGACAAACATTACTTCAAGCCAGGAGATCAAGGTTAATATCAACACTGAGAAGTCATACTGATAGAATATACCCTTGATATGATGTCATGAGAATGTCACTTTACCTCTGTGACATTCCTCCCAAAAACCACATTCTTCAGTCTCACCATGAGAAAAACATCAGACAAATCCCAACTGACAGTCTACAAAACACTAAGCAGTACTCCTCAAAACAGTCAATGTCATCAAAAACAAGGAAAGTCTGAGAAGCTGTCACAACCAAGAGGAGCCTAAGGAGACATGACTGCTAAATGTAATGGGATCCTAGAACTGAAAAAAGACATTAGGCAAAAACGAAACCGGCATAAGTGTGTACTTTAGTTAATAATAATGTAGTAAAATTGATTCATCTATTTTGACAAATGCATCATACCAATGCAAAATGTTAATAGGGGAATCTGGGTGTAAGGCATACAGAAACTCTCTATATTATCTCTGCAGTAATTCTGTAAATCAAAAACTATTAGTACACTTATTGAAGAAAAATCTACTAGGAAAGCTTCCAGAAGTATTCCATGCTTACAATAAACAAGCCAAATGCAATCAAGAAAACTCAAACATGAGATTAAGTCAGTTAACTGGTTGCTCAACTATAGCAATGCCCCGTGCCCAGAGCTTTACAGAAACGATCACACCAAATATTAGCTTATTAAGCCCACAGCTTTTTTACCAGGATAAAATGGCCAAAGACATTGGTCTCAAACACCTCCTGAAGTCCATCAGCAGTGATCTTATCACCCTGGGTCAGCAGGCCTTCAGCTGTGGAGAACATATGAATCACTTTTCTGAAATAGCAGAAGATAATTGCATGACTTTTTAAAGCTTCTTTAACTGGAAATGCTGAAAACACTTCCCAACCCATCCCCCGCCTCCCCCCCCCCCCACCCATAAACTATACCTCCCTTGATTCTGTAATGACAGGAATAAAAATAGCTGTTTCTCAGACTGGATTATTGCATTAAATGAAATGCCAAAGTCCCTCCTTCCCCCGACTAATTCACAGAAGTACTTACACACGTATAGCTCACACTACCAATAGGAACTTGAGTCTCTCAAAAATCTGCTGCTAAACTCTACCTCTTCCCCAGTCAAGTTACAGGTAAACTGTTCTAAATGAATAATAAGCTATGCCAAAGGGAAAAAAGTCTTCCTGTGTATAAAGTATGTTTAATTGCCAAAAACAAAGTTAAACAGGTTGTTTTTTTAACTGGGAATTCTTCAAACATATTAATATAGTGTTCTGCTGTGAGGTCAATTCAGTAGGTCAAGGCCAACATGGAGACAGACAGAGAGAGAGAGAGAGAGAAAGAGAGAGAGAGAGAGAGAGAGAGAGAGAGAGAGAGAGAGTGTCTGTCTGTCTTTTAATGAAAAAGAAGTAAAGCAAAAGTACTGGTATAGTAAGTAGCACATAGTAAGAATGCCTATTTATGAGTAAGTGTACTGGGTCACAAAGTAAGATTTATTCCTATAAATAAGAATTCTCCCGGTTGTGTTTCAACATTTTTGAAATTTTTGAAAGCCACTACACTAATGTGTAATGAGAATTTCCCAGGAAGACATTAGTTCTCTGCATTTCCCCAACCTACTGGTCACAGCACCTGACATACAACTGGGAAATAGTTCAAAGTAGCTTTCCTGGAAGTTGGAGTCTCTCTGAGAACTCTGCCTAATTTCAAAATGTTCTTGCTAATAGGCATATCCCGGCAGACCAAAAAATGACCTTCTAAACCATTCAACCATTTAGAATGTACTGGGACTTAGAATACCATACAAAACAGAACTTTCAGCGCTCCCCACAAAAGAGGATTGCTTTTCTTTCATGATATGGTTGCATCATCTCCTTTTTCTGTCTTCAACCTTTTCAACGACCCCTTACCTTTCATCCCCCCAACTTAACACACCAGCAAAACTAGGCAGAAAAATGAACACATTCCTTCCAATCAGTTCATCCAGAAAATGGAAATTACCTTGAAAAGAGGCCAAAGAAAAGTGCTTTGATATTTAGCTGTGGATTAGGCATGATCCCAGCATTTAGATATATACAGTCTAATCTCTGAAACCTGCAAGTAAACAACCAAACGAGATTGTGAGTTGCAAGTAAAAGCATCAGGTCAAGATTGTGTATTCTATCTCTAGAGTGACTAGAATCAAGGAGGCCTAAGAAAGACAAAAAATACTTTTTAAATTAATAAATTAGCCACAGCAAGCTGAGAAGAATTTACAGTACATTAAAGTTACAGCATTTCTTTCTCAACAGTTTTTCTTTAGCCACAGTAAACATCTGAGGATTCTTTCTTTGGTAGTGGCTTCAAACAGAATCTGTGGACTTTAAGTAAAACCTCTGATCAATAATTCCTTCCAGCTCTGTTCTCTCAATAAGGAACTGCAGCAACCCTCTATCTGTTAAACCCACTCCACTCTCCTCATCTTACAAAGTCTCTTGCTTTTAAAAAAAAAAAATCTACATCTCCTCTGGTTGATAAGTAAAATTTATATAATATTGATATTCACCTGACTTGATCTATTAATGTTGAAATCTGAATGCCAAAATATATAATAAAACAGAAGATCCATGTGGAAACCTTTCAGTGTTCATGGACAAGTCCTATGTATCATAAAATAATGAAAGTTCATAAGAATACAATGAGATTGTAAAAGATGAATCAGGGTAAGATATTCTTGCCGGGCTCCCTCCTGAATACTTGTCATGGAAGGAATATGAAATGATGAGTTGAAAAAGCATTTTCAGTTTTAAACGTATGTAAGCCTTCATCTAGATGTACTGGTTTTGAACTAGGTTCAAGGCAGGTAAAGCCTGCTCTCATGATACTCACAGACACCATAAATATTCAGAATATCTCCTAGAGTTCTATGTACCAAACTGTCTCTGACTAACCCAAGACATTAAGAGCCACAGCTTCTAAAGTTAGGACCCTGAACTACATACATGGTCTTCAATACAGATCACATACAAATATTTCTTCATCATCCTATAAATAATTGACAAATGACTCAAATTATTAAACTGACCATTTAAAATGCTGATATTGTTACCATCAGTTCATCACATAAGTGCCACAAAGATAGTGTGAGTTCATCCATTGTTGCTTGTTCTATTACCGTATTTGCCAACTTTTATCTAAGAATATTAACATATTTGGCTAGGAACAGAGAGGAAATGTTTAGTAAAGACACCAAATTAAGCTCTGGCTTCAGTAAAATGGCATACCACTCATCAATAAAATAATTGACACATTGCTCTAATATGGATAAAACAGAATCACTGTTTCTTACTAGTTTTCATCTGCACATATCTAATAGAAGACAATGCTACAGATAGAAAGACCAGGTGTCAGGGATGGTGCTACTTGAGCCTTTAGAAGGAATCTCAAGCTCTCTTTAGCTCTAGTTGACTTCAAGCTTAGAACTGAAGAGATCCATTTGAGCCACTGAGTGCAGTTTCTTGACATAAGCAAGAATCTATCTGGACACTTTCATATATTCCATATTTGTGAATATCATTACAACCATCATTTCCTAAACTTGAATAACACCAACCATCTCAAAAAAAAAAAAAAAAAAAAAAAAAGGCTGTTTTGCGAACTAAAAAAAATACCTCAAAACTTCACTACAATGCTGATGACAGGTACCTGGGACAACTCACTGCTACCACAGCCTCACTGCCTTGAATCTGTGCTAAGTTGCTAAATATCTTACAAAATACTAAATTACTAAACTTGTGATAAAGTACCGAATATCTTGAACCTTTGAAGGCATTCGGGAATAGTCAGTACTATAAACGTTAAAACTTTAGGTCTCAAAAGTAAACTGCATCGGAATGGGCTATTATTAACTGGGAAATGAAGGTTCTTTTCTTCCAAATAAGAGAATATAACAAAATCTAAACAAATCAGGTAAGAAGCCAGCTGGCTAAGAAAGTTTAGGAAAAGAATGCCTGTAAACATGATTTAAAAGTTGTAACTTCTCTCAACTTCATAGTTTTTATCTCCATAAGGACATTCAGTATACAGTTTCACAGCCCTGGAGACTCTTAAGTTATGGAGGAGTAGGGGATATGGAATATATCACAATTTATGTGAAAACAGAACCTAGAAAATCTCCTCAGGTTTTTTTTTTCTTTTTTCTTTTTTAAGATGTGGCAGAAAACTCTAGAGCTCAGCAGTACTGGAGAGAGAAACCACATTTACAAAGGACTAAGGCCACACTGAGAAGAGCCAGAGCGAAGAAGAAAACTAGCTTTCACTTTGTAACTGGTGCATTTGGAAGAGGGAAATGCAAATTATTATCAATTCACATAAAATACAAAGTATTTTTCTTCAGCAAATGTCTTCATTAAGAAGGGCTTCCTTGTTTCTACCCATTTCATTTTACTGTCCAAGGAAACAAGGTAGTTATTTGTCTCTTAAGTGCCTCAATACTAAAATATTTGAAAATTAATTATTCAAGATAGTCCTAGGGTGGCATAGACTAGTGCAGGGTTCTTGGCCTCTTTTCATCATACATTCCTCCTAAAATTTAAAAACAAACAAATAAATAAAAAGCCATCTCTGCCCAGAAAAATGCATTGTGCACCTACATGCAATTTTGTGTTCACTTGCAGGGGAGTTATACGTTATACTCTATAAGTTATACTCTATTCCTTCACATACCAACTGTTGATCAAATGTCTATTACATGCCAATTACTGTGAAGGTGTGAACAAATCTTTACTGGCCTAGGGAAAAAAATACCCCTTAGGAAGCAGGGAGAAGCCCTGGGGTCTTGGACTCACTCAACTAATATAAGATTGGATGACCTTCCTAGGGACATTACCCTTATTCCTGTGTCTCAGTTTCTTCACTTGTTAAATGTCACTACTTGCCTTATCTACTTAATGAATTCATTATGTGAAGGAAAGATGTAAAAAATGAATTCAAATGTCAAAAGAGTTACCTTAACGTAAGGCAGTGCAACTGATCACACATCAGGATGTACTTATAAATTAGTCTCCATGAAATAATTATGATCATGATTGAGACTGAAAATGTGGTACCAGGCACAATGGCTCACGCCTGTAATCCCAACACCAACTGATCACACATCAGGATGTACTCATAAATTAGTTTCCATGAAATAATTATGATCATGATTGAGATTTAAAATGTGGTACTGGCCGGGTACAATGGCTCACGCCTGTAATCCCAGCACTTTGGAAGGCCGAGGTGGACGGATCACAAGGTCAGGAGTTCGAGACCAGCCTGACCGACATGGTGAAACCCCATCTCTACTAAAAATACAAAAATTAACCAGGCCACCGTGGTGGTGCGTGCCTGTAATCCCAGCTACTCAGGAGGTGGAGGCAGGAGAATCACTTGAACCCAGGAGGCGGAGGTTGAAGTTAGCCAAGATCACGCCATTGCACTCCAGCCTGGGTGACAGAGCAAGACTCCATCTCTTAAAAAAATTAAAAAAAAAGAAAGAAAATGTGGTACTGAGACACAATGGGTCACCCTATACAGATTTCCTCAACATAACTGCTTACACTGCACCTGTTTCTTTTTAGGTTTTTCTTTCCTCTCATTTTATTAAGTGTTATGCTGCACAATCACATAAGAAAAAAAAAATCCATCAGCAAGAGATATACCTTTGCTTAAGTTCCTTGGAGGCCCGGAACACGGACTGCAGGTTGCTGATGTCCACCTGGACAATGGTGACCTCAGCAGTGGGGTGAGAGGCCAGCAGAGAAGCACGGACAGCTTCTGCCTTGTTCCTATTCCTGCACGCCAAACACAGATGAAGCTCATCATCTTCCGCCAGCAGCCGCTTGCAGAGGGCCAGGCCAATGCCACTGGGAGGACAATTCAGACACAAGATGTGGGTTATCTGGGATGGCATCAGGTAGAGGCATTTCTCTCTGGTTCAGAAAACTGTGTCAACTTGACGTCCAGTGAGAAGCCCAGAAAATCATAAAAGACTCAACAATTATTTAAGAATGGAGGAATCCTCCACTCCAATAGTCACTTGCTTGAGACACAGTCTAGTTTGTGTTTTTCTCATTTTGAAAAACTTCAATGACACAATAACTGGACTGAAAACAAGAGTTGTTCTTTAGTTTTGCTATTACTGGGCTTTATCCTGCCAGTGGTTTTCATTTTGTATTTATTATGCCACTCATGAGAATGATTTAATATATCACCAGTAAGGGCTGAAAAGAGCATCTTATTAGCTGTTTCCTATGTGCATCTTTACTTTGCTGTCTAGGCTCCTCAGGGGCAAGGGCTTTACCACCTATTGGTATCATAAACCCCATAAGGAGCACCAGAAATCTCCGATAAAGGAACAGATGAATCTTTCAGATGAGGCATCAGTAACATGGCAAGATGTACAAATCCCTCTCGACAACTATGATTAAATAATAGAAAAAGAAAGAACTCAACGTGATTACGTAGAAGGTAGGAATACACTAAATATTAGATGAGGACCAAGAAAAGGGAAGCAGGGATGAGTACAGCATTTGGAGACAAAGAACTTCAAAACCAGCACTGTAAAACCGCATAGGAGTGGTGACATCAGTCAGATCAGCCTGGCTGATAGCAATGAAAAGTTGGGTAATAATTTCTCTTTCATTACTTAAGCTGATTCCAGGAAAATATATTAATAGTTAAAACCCAAAAAGAGCCTGGAACCATCAGTAATCTGTTAGCACCAACAACAAAGCATCAAAAACAGTTATTTGTCCTCACATGAGAATAGTAGGTATTTAATATACAATTGCACATATCACAATATATGTAAAAGAAACAGACAAAATCAATTCTGACTTATTTCAGTACCTTCCACATAAGAAGCACCAATCAATTGTTGAAGTCACTTGAGAGGGTATGCTAAAAAGTTGCCAACTGCAGACACCTACCAAGCTGGCTTAGTTAATATGCATGTGGTTGAATAATTGAAAGTGGATCAATCTTAAATGTTTAACATGTACTCTATCTTAATCATTTAAAAATGCCAAATGCAACTAGTAGAAAAAATTGTTTGATTGGCTTCATCCTCTACACATTTTTCATGGAAGTGCAAATGACAGGTAAGAGGCTGAGAGACTAAGTTAGCAACCCTGGAATTATTATGAGCTAGTTATTCTGCACCCCAACCATGCCTTCATATGAAAAGGTTAACTTTCTCTGGGTTTCTGAAGAGTGTGTTAGCTCTCTAGCACTGAGCTAAATGGAAGGGGATTGTTTTTTCTCCACAGTCCTAATGCTCATGGGTGTTCAAATTTGTAGGCAAAAGGATTGTACAGACAAAACACCTATAATATAAAACATGATCATGTGGTCAGGAGCAAACTGCTGGGCACTGACGATCAATACGAATAGCAGGCAAAGATGGAAAAGGGGCGGAGCCCGCGTGAGTACCCTATTCTCTTGATAACCTCAGGATCATCACTGCCACACTCATCACTTACTGATGTTCTAGTTTTCCTTTTCACTGTCATGTTTAATACCAAGTACCAGTTACTGAGCACCTCAAGAGGCCGGCACGCTCCACACCTGCTGCAGAGACTCCGGGAAACCTAGGCAAAGCCAGGGGCGGGCGCTTCCGGGGTCCGTTCGTGGAAGGTCGCAGATCCCTGCTCTCTCAGACCCCTCATCCGCTGCCACCTCTGCCAACCCAAAGGAGGCCTCACCTGCTCGCGCCGGTAATCAAAACCACCTTTCGCATCTTCGCGCATTCACACTTCCAAGCAGTGAAGCAAACGCCGCCGCTGCTTTCGGAAGTCCTAAGATTTCGGGCAGCAGCCGGGCCCACCTCACCCGTCACCAATCAGAGTACGGCCACGCCCCGCCTCCCGTTGCGTCATCGAGTCTGCGCTGATCCCTCCAATCTCAGTCCGCCAACCGCTCCCTGCCCTCGGAGTCGGTGTCGGGTGAGATAGGCCGAGGGGAGGAGCTGCGTGACGCAAAGCCCGGAGCCATTCCAGGTTCTTCTCGCTCCGCCTCAGCGCAGGTGTCCGTCACTGCCGCGTAGGGCTTATTGGAAGCCGGATCTTTAATCCTGGTGGGCGTGTCACCCGGCCTAGCTCTTAGGAGAGGAGTAACATGCACTGGGTCTGTGCCCTGGCGTCTGAGATTGGCACTTCATTGCAGGAAGGCCTCACGGTATTTGCACCAGTGCCCATTTTAGAGAAAAGGTTTGAGTCTAGGAGCCAGAGTTGGGCGACTATTATTTAATTTTCCACTCCTTTTTGGATGTATAGATCCAGGCATTGTGCCACTTCACAGCCCAACTTCTGATCCCAGACCTCCTCCTCTAAAGAAACTTATTTGAGAAAATGAGCACTGATTTTGTTAAGAATTTTATGTAGAATCATGCGTAAATTACCAGTATTCAAAAGTTGGAATGTGGCGTGGAATCAGAATCTCAGAACTTCATTAGCGAAGTACTGAGAATGTGTTGTAACCTCCTATATCAGTGCATCTCAAACTGTGCTGAAGGGCCTGTTTGTGTTTCCAAGCCATCCCAGATGGGTGCTTTTAGAAAATACAGAGAAGAAAAAAAAGAAGTGCTAGAAAAAGAAAAGCAAAAGGCATACAAAACACAAGCCCCGATTTTTTATTATTAGATTCCAGACTTATAAAAATACTCTGCCAAAATGAGGCAGAATAGGGTTTGGAGGCAGGGTACTTAAGGCCAATTCGTGTTGACTTCCTAGAGCTCAATCAAGGAAAAACAGCAAGGGCTGGGAGTAGGGAATCTGAGACCAATTGGTGCTGGCTTCCCAAAGCTGGATCAAAAGGAAAACACCTGGTTCTGGGGGCCGGAAAACTAGGGCCAATTAACACCAACTTCCTAAAGCTAAAGAAGGAAAAACCCCATCTCCCCACCTCCCAGTAGCAAAGGATCAAAGGCTACTCTCCCTACAACCTTCTGGTCCCAGACCAAACTGAGGGTTGGGCTGCTGTTTTTCAAGGTCCAATAACAAGATGCAGATGAACTGGGGAAGAAGAGAGTTCTTATTTCTGTAACCGGTTACAGGGAGAAGGCCTGGAAATTATCGCCAGACCAAGTCAACATTACAGTTTTTCAGAGCTTATATACTTTCTAAGTGAGCTGTCTACCTGTAAGTGTGCATTTATCTAAAGACATAAGTGATTAACTTCTTTTAATCTGTAACTAAGGTCTGAGTCCTGAAAACCTTCCTCTGGAGCCTCAGCAAATTTACTTAACCTAAATGGGTCCAGGTGCTGGGGTGATTACCCTTGTATTTTCTCCTGCTAAGTCATGGAGGTTTGAGGAGTTCCCTTAGACCCCCCAATGAACTTGTTTGTGGAGGCCTGGGGAGTTTCTTCAGACCCACAATAAAACTCGTTTAATCCTAAATGGGGTCCTGTTAAGAATTCCTTCATTATTTTGTCATGCTTTAAGAGGCCCAGGAAAGGCCTAGGCAAAATTCTTGATGGGCTTTTGTTACATCCCAGCCTTTGTATAAGGGCACTGGCTTTTAATATTTCACCACTTAGTCAGTACTGAAACAGTTGTTAGTGAGACCTGGCCTGCCACACTTCCACCATGTCTCAGATGGAAAGGGAAAGTGCCTTGGATTGGCTGTGGGCCAAGCACTAAGCATGGGCCATGCCATCATCTGCATAGGGCACACATTCACCTCAGCCTTTACTTAGCCATAAACCAAATCCTTCATCCAGGTAAGGGGTAGCCCATGGGGACCTCAAAAGAACTACTTAAAACCCAGAAAACTTTGTAACTTGGCCCTTGAGCCACTTGCTCAGGCCCACTCCCACCCTGTGGAGTGCTGTCTCAGTTTAATAAATCGCTGCTTTTGCCTTCACGGGTTCGTTCCTTTGTTACTTTGTGCATTTTGTCCAACTTTTCGTTCCAAATGCCAAAAACCTGGATGACTCACACTCAAGACCCTGCTTCCAGTGACAAAACTGCTATCAAGGTTTCTAATGCTTACTCTAGGTTTCCATATTTGTAGTAGACTGGTAATGGGACCATCACTAGCCCCAGCTCACACGGAATAAAACTGTGTATCATACATCAAACTCTACTGAGCATACTTTAATCTATTTAATGGCCTCTTTCAGTGTTTTAATTATTTATGAACAGCAATGATCCCTAAAACACTGTGATAATTTATATTGGCTTTTGATCCTAAAGGTTTTGATCAATGATACCAACTTACTTAGTAATCATTTATCCTATATCAAGAAAATTAGATTGAAAGAACAAATCTGGTTATGAGAACATTAGATTCCTAAATAAAACTTTTTTTTCTTTTTTAGACAGAGTCTCGCTCCGTCAGCAGGCTGGAGTGTAGTGGTGCGATCTCGGCTCACTGTAACCTCTGCCTCCCGGGTTCAAGTGATTCTCCTGCCTCAGCCTCCCAAGTAACTGGGACTACAGGCACACGCCACCACACTCGGCTAATTTTTGTTTTTGTTTTTGTTTTTTTTTCAGTAGAGACAGGGTTTCACCATGTTGGCCAGGCTGGTCTTGAACTCCTGACCTCAAGTGATCTGCCTGCCTCAGCCTCCCAAAGTATTGGGATTACAGGCGTGAGCGACCATGCCCAGCCAATAAAACTTCTTTATCATAGGGGTGGAAATCAGCTCCTATGTTTATCCCACTTTCAACTGTTCTAAAGAGACCACAATTTAACAATATTTTCTGAAAGTCATGGAGTAAAATTAAGCCTAATTGTGAGAGTCTAGACCCAAAGGCTCATTTTTAAATGTCCTAGAGCTCAGAAGTGATGAGGAATAAGAAGAAGGAGACCAGGTTGTGTGGCTGTCTCATACAAAACTCATTTCTATAAAGAAGGGGGAGGGCCTGGGCTGTGGAGGCTCAGCATTACCGCAGTCTCTGGATGCCCGCCAGCCTAAGACAGATTGAATTAAGTGAAGTCCAGACAACTTCAGAGCAAGACCATCTGTCTCTCCTTTCCTCAAGATTTTCATTCAAGCCAAGTGATGAAACTACTCTCTTCCCTTTTTTCCACTAAAGTTGCTGTTTTCAAGGTGTTGTGACTTTTGAAAGATGGACTGAACTGCTGGAGGTGCTCAGAGAGACTAGAATAGAGTTCTATTCACAATAGATGCCATTTAATTCTATATTTTACAAATATTTTATCACTCATAGGACACAGCTTGATAACCATCATAATATGTTTTTATTGATGAGTGAATGGATAGGTATGTTTTTTTTTATCATCATAAGTGTATGTTTTGCATGGGCTCATTCTGTTCTCCTGGAAATCAGAAGAACAATATGGTACACAATGATCCCATCCATCCCTGCCAAACCTTGGCCCTGTGATTTATCTACCATGCCCAGTGCTGAGAAACGTGCTCAGAAAACTCAAATATTCTGAGAAACATTCTCAGAAAACTAAAAGTATAAACTTATTCTCAGAGACCAGGTAAGAAATTGGTTGTTTGGGGTCGTTTCATTCTAATCTCTAATATAATGACTGAGTCTAAATTCTGGTTTTCATAGTTTTTTTTTTTTTTTTTTTCTGGGGGGGGTGGTTTGTGCATGTGCGGACAGTCTGAAACAGACTATATTGGGATTTAAAAAGGATTTCTGTGTATCAAACAAGACAACTCTGTAACCATAACAATAAGGGATTGCCAGTTAATTCTGGACTGGATTCCCCAGAACTGGACTAATTAATATGAGGACATAAAATCCCAGTGTTTCGTATGTTTAGATATGTCAGAGACCAAGGTGCTTTCCTCCCAATAAACAGTCAACTCATATGTTAGAGGCCTATTTAAATAATCCTTTGTTGGACAGCCCCACAAACAGGTGTCCACACTACATACACCCCAGCTCTGACCCATGCCCCATCACTTCCCCAGGAATGATGTAAGACTGTCAAGAGCAAAGGTTACAAAGCCCAGAACTGGCACTGTTTATACAGAAAGGGAGATCCATCAGTAGCATGACTCTTTAATCATTGTTATTTACAATTTATCATCTGACAGACTTACAGAGAATAAATAAAGAAAAGAAAATATACAATTGGTATCACGTTTCTTTTTCTAATACAGAGAAATTTTACGTATTCTATTTGGAACGTCTATGATAGTTTTAAGCAGAAATTAAATCCATTTTATCTTTACCCCTTGACAAGACACATCACCTTCCAAAGCCTGCAGAAGGGGGCCCAGATGTTTCCTCATCACAGGAAGAGTGCACCACATGGCTGCAGAAACTCAGTCCTCAGAAAAAGTTACCAGGCAACAGGGTAGAAGAATAGGATATCATGAATAATAAAGGATATATAATGGATAGGCTAGATTACAGACTCTTGGTGTGTTTGCAGGAAGCCTCTTTTCAAGAAAACAGTTTTTCACTGAAAGTGATTACCTTACCCCATTGTGCTTCCTTTGAGTGTCTGCAAATTCTTCCTTGATATGTTCATTGTAATTGTCGATGAGCACAGCTAGCTTGGGACTCAGATTATTTTCCTGCAAGGCACCTGACATTGTTGCATGTTGTTGACAAGGTGTCTGCAGGAGAAACTAGATAGCTTGTTTCAAATAGACTGGGTATAAGGCCAGAGTCTGATCTCTCCCTTTGAATTGGTGTCCTGTGGAGAACTACCTTTCATTGCTGTCTAAATGCCTCAAAAAATTAAGCAGCTCTATAGATCAATTTCTCCATCAAAAAGTATACAGAGAATGCACTTCACCAGGTACGAGTCTGAATATTTTTTTCTCTTTCCTCATTTTGAAAATAAACTCTCCATGTTACAGCAAAAAAATTCTCCCTATATTCACTCTAGTTAACTGGATGACAAGTTTTTGTTTCCATCTTAAATTCATTCAAAAAAACAACATTCAGCAAATATTTATCAAGTGCTCACAATGACCTAGGAACTTAATAAGACACACATTGTTATAAAATTGTGACCCCTTAAATAGGGGACTTAAAAATGTCAATCGTAAAACTCAAAACTGTAATCCACAAAACTGGAGTTTCAACTTCTCCACAGGTTGCTGCTGTGTTTGCAATTAATTTGGTTTAATGTGGTTGTTATTCCATTTAATGACAGCTATTTAGGCAAATAAAACCTCTCTACCACTCTGAAAATAGTATTTTATCAAACATTAGGAGTCTATACCATTGCATTCTCTTCTCTCCACAAGCTATTCCCAGTGCCATTAACTAAGTGCCAACTAACTCTTGACTGAAATACTGGTTTACTCTAAACTCCTCATTTTGTCCCCAGTACTAATCCTACTCACTGTAGAAGCTTCAGGAAATATCTAGAATATCCTGCTATACCTGGTTTTCTAGGCAACAAGCTATGAGCAGTTCTTACTGTCTTTTGTGTTGCCTAATATTTCTAAGTTTGTCTTGGATTGTTTCAGATGCCAAACAGCCTAACTAATCAGAAAATTTAGAAGCAACGTAGGCAGGGTATTGCTCATGATAAAGGAACACATTAATGTGTTATAGTCTCTCTAATACTGTAGAATTTTATCCAGATAGTGTCTTTCCTGTTGTATCCAAGCAAGGCCAGATTACAAATCAGCAAGAATTAAAAGTATCCAGCAACTAAATGAATATGTGTGGAAAAACTGGTGAAATTGAAAAAAGGTCTGTGGTTTAGTTAATAGCATTATGCCAATGTTAATTTTCTGGTTCTGAAAATGGACTAAGTGAAATTTTATAAATGGGGAAAACTGGATCTAGGGTAAGGCCACTTTACTATTTTTGTAACATCTTGTGAGCTTTAAGTTCTTTCAAAATAACAAGTTTTTTTAAAGGAGACACCAACTCAACAATTCTTCACTGCTCTTTGGCACAAGTAATGCAGCTAATTGTAGCAGAAAACTCAAAATGCCAGAAATTAAATCACCATTAACCACTCCAGTCTCTTTCCCTCTAAGTTCAGTTCTTGACAACTTATTACCAAGTGAAAAAAACATTAATCTGTTTTTATTAAAATGTTACATTTCTATTAAGAAGATTTTCCCAGCAAAAATAAGGATCTGCATCTTCCTGGAGATGCAGAAACATTAGGGACCTACCTACCATATGCACTGCCAGAGGACAAAAGTCTTACTGAAAGGGAAAGATTAGGATAGCAAATTCCAGGTCTATAAATTCAACTTACAATCAAAGACTTAGTAGCCATATATTGCAATTTTCTTTTCTTTCTTTCTTTTCTTTCTTTCTTTCTTTCTTTCTTTCTTTCTTTCTTTCTGTAGTTTTGGGCAAAACATTCACTGTTCTGTTTTAGTATACTTCCTTGGAACATCTTCATCTCTTTCTGTCTTGCAGACACTCCTCTTCTTCTATTCTCCTTTACTCAAAACATATGGTTTAGACCCACATCATGGCTTTGTTGTGGGAAGCCTGGATGGGACTAGAAAAACACATGTTTCCAACATGGTGCATATCTGTTTGTGCAGATATCAGATAAGATTTAATCTTGTCTAACTTATGCGTATTGTTTTGATGTTTGCCTGTGGTTATTCTGGGCACAGCAATGGTGGGCATTATTGAAAATGAACTTTTTTGACAGAGGAAAGATAATAGAACATGAAGATTTATGAACTACCATAAGCTCCCCATCTCTGGGTCTTCATTTCCAAAGCAGCACTTGGGAAACCAAGCCCCGTTCAGGCAAATAGTTGATTACTTCTCACCAGCACTTGAAATGGTCCAGAATACACCAGATGCTCAAACTACCTTCCTCACACACTTCTGAAATGAAAAGGTCATTCCCTGATGATTGCTATATCTTTTCCAAAAGGAACTTCCCCTTTTTTAAAATTCTGAAAAATTCCTTTCCATTTCATACATTGAACCTGACTTCATTTCTTAATAAATATTTTTATCATCTCTATCATCCAGAATTTCTTCTTTCTCCATTCATATTTATCTTTTACTTCAAGATACTTACTTTCCTATTCCCTTTCAAAACTCCTTCTTGTTTCAAAATGGATTCCCAATGGCTCCAGCTACTCCTGTTTCTACTTGCTCAACTTGATCTTTCCCTGTGTCTTTCCTGTGCACTCTCCGTTGCCCCTTTTTTGTAGCCTCCTTTCTAGCCCTGACCTTCCCCCCATTCAGTCATATGCACATTCGCGTATCCTTTTTTTTTTCACCCCACTTGCATACAATCCTCTTCTTTATACAGTCTTAATATACTTGCAAGTGATCTTTCCACAACATTAAAATCACATTTTGCTCCTCAGGCACCGCTTTGCACTTTAGATCTTATCTGGTCACATATGTGTCTGGAAAGCACATCAAGTTTTAGATAGACCTAACTATCAGCACATTAGCCAGCAAGAACATAAATTTAGATCTGGCAATCCCAAAACACAATCTGCACACAAAATAATTCACATATATCATGAAGAAGATAACTTACTGCAAACGTAATAAGGCCCCACAGTCTCTGATCATTTTTTTCGATCTCCTTCTCCAAATAAGTCCTAGCTTTGTTCCTCTAATTCAAATTTGAACTACTTACTATGTAGTTCAAATATGAACTACTTAGTATGAATTCTACACACTAGGCCCTCACCATGTATTCTGTTGGGTTGCTTGGATGTGTGCTACTAAACTCTAAAGGCATGACTAAGCTAGAAACTAAACCTGTGTCTGTAATACAAAGGTCTCAGTGCCAGAAGTTGAAGCCTTCCTCATCCCAGAAAAGGATACAGATATGTATTACATGATAATATATATTGAGCAGCCATCTGAAACAGATTACTTCTATGACTCAAGGCTGGGAAAACTCAGACACTGTAAGTTCATTTTAAATATGATTTTAAAAAAATATGGAAACATAGAATAACCCAGTGAACTGGGGCAGAATCATAAAAAAGAATAAGTGAAGAGATTTTAGGCAAAGGAAGATAAAATAATATTATTTTCTCTTGCTCCATAAGAAGTCATGGCATGGTCTGGATGTAGCCCTACCAGAGGCATGTGGATAAAGAAGAATAGGCTGCAGGTCCTGAGTTCAAGTCCCTTTAATTCTAATGAAGCTTAGAATACTTATTTTGAAAGCGGAGTGTGGCAGGTCCCAAGGTATCTAGCCCTGCACATATCAAATATGCTAATGTATTTGGAAACACCTGGTAAACCTAAGGCACAATACAAATGGCATGTGTTACTATACTACCATTACAGTGATTTCTTCCATGATCTCTTTTGCTGGTTACAATTTTCAGAGCAAGAAATGACCAGATTACTAAATCCATCAGTTATAGATTCAATTATCCAGTTAGTACTGGACGTATCAGAACCAGCAGGGACCTCAAAACTATTTAATCTAATTTCCTCATCCTATAAATAAGAAAACAAAATGCAGAAAGACCAAGTGATTTAGCCAAGAGGACACACTTAGTGTGAAGCAGAAAGAGGGTTAAAGCTCCCAAATCAATGTTCTCTTGACTTTCAAACCAATGATTTCTCCAAAGTTAGTCCTGGGATAGACTAAAGCCCAAAGGCATAGGACAACTACGGGGAAAGGACATTTGCTAGGATCAGAATATGACCTGAAAAATGGATCCTGTGGACTTGGGATTTATGCTTATGCTGTGGCCTGGAGCAATGCTGAAGTCTGAATGGGGAAATACACATGTTCCTGAGAAACTGTTGTAGAAGGTAAACTGGTGAGGGCAACAGAGGCAGACCCAAGGGGTCAAGGCCATTCCTTCTCAACTTGGGAAGCTGATTTGTAATGTCTTCATGTTTCTCCTCAATGGAAATTAAGAGTTCCTTTTTCTAGCTTCCCACTAAATCTGAAGATTTGTGGAGTGTGAAAGCTCAGAATCTGCTCTGAGCAGATTCCTTCTTGACAGTGGCTCTGTTTCCATGAATTCTGAAGCCACAGCTTTGAGATTTCTTTTCTGCGGGTCACACCATCTCAGAGGCAAGAGAGTGTATACTCAGCAGTAGCAATAGATGCTCATCCTGTGCCTCTCTAGAATCAAGGACTCTCGGAGTTAGAAAGACATTAAACATTGTCTTACACCACCATCTACTTTGTGTTTCAAAACCTCCATTTTCTTTGACAAGAGACTCCCCACCTCTGGTAGCAGCCCATTTATCCTTGTATGTTCTGAGTGCTTTGTTTTCCCCAATAAGGAATGGAAATCAGTCTCCCTGTAACTTCTCCACATTAGTCCTAGGACAACTTTTTTTGGGGACACTCAGAACAGACCTATTCCCTCTTGGACAAGGCCAGTAGGTATTTATGCCTGAGAAATTCAGCCCCAAGCCCAAAGATCCTACAGAGGCTTCATCCTTGAAAACGCTAGAAGATTTGGACAAGATGAACTCGAGAGTCTACTATCAAGATATCAAAACATCAGCCTTTACTGATTAAAAACTCAGATTCTCACTAAAACACACACATGAAAATATCTGAACAAGACAAAGAAAACAACCCTCTTACAAAATCACAAATAAATGGTGGATACCATGTCTGTTATGTGTCCTCCATTGACCTCCTTTCCTATGTCCATTATCTATTCATGAATCCTTCCATCCACGAGGTACTTTTTTTCTGTAAATGACAATCCCCCTTCATACACTCTTGCAGCAAACATTCTTTCCTATCTATATCCCCAGTTGTTTCATATATGAACTTCAACCCTGACCCCTGTCTATGAATGAGCAGAACACCCATTTCAAGAAATTGGGGGGTTTCAAGAATATATCATTCAGTTTGACAGGAGAGAGAAATGCAAACAGTGAGACATGTCCAGAGGCCAAATTAGAAAACCACCTGTGATTAGTTGCTGAATTCTGAGTCCTCAGATTCTCCACATCTATCAAGTGTTTTCCCTAAATTTAATCTCATGTTTCCCAAGACATTAGTATTCTTCAAGTTTTTCTTTCCGAAGATTCTTTTAGAGTGACATGGAAAAGTATTGTAGAATCTGCACATTTATAAGCACAAGCATAGTTAACCTTTATAAATTATCTGAATTTTCTAGCCTTTGTTATCCAACATTTTGGTATATCAAGTAAGATTTTCTTTTACTAGATTGTATCTGCCCTAGGCTTTTTTTTTTAAGTTATTTAATGTAAAAAAAAAAAATGTATATATGAGTCAGGAGTAGGGAGTGGGGGTGACCAGGAACAGACAGCAAAGCAAACAAGCCTCTGTCTCTCAGGTTCATTAAATGACCAGATGGAGTGGCATAGGCGTGGGTGAGTGGTAGGTCTTGTAGAGAGGACCTGAGCCGTAGGAATGTGGCCAGGCACTGACAGCATCACTCGTCGCCTTGTTGAAGGAGCAGAAGGTGGATTTCTTGGAATGAGGGACGGTTCTTCGTATCTCTTCTCCAGCAGCTAAGCATCAGCTTATACACAGAGTCAGGACAAATGGCTGGTTGAGGGAGGTAAGTCTTTGGGAAAAAAATAAAGGAAAACAAAAGTGAAAGAGACAGAGAATATTACAAAGAAGGGGAAAGGGAAGTATATTTGCATCATGGTTTGATTTGCCCCCTGCCCACTTTCTTGAACTTGATAACTGAAATGGGTGTGGTATCCATTTTTCCTATTCATGAAAGTTTTGAATCATATCAGCCCTTTTCTAAGCTATTCCCTTTGTCTTCTGGAATTCTCTGGAGCAGAAATTTTTGATGGGCCATTATGTGGTCCCTACTTTCATGCAAAAGATGAAACAACCAAAAAGAGACCAAATCTTCCATTTATGACCAACCCATATTGAAGTCCATCTTGGCTGAGCCAATCATGGCAGAGGCAGAAAACAACATTTTTCTTTGGCCCACTCACTTATCTCACGTACTTGGGAGTAAATTTGCCCTTTACTGTGGTAAGAAGGCAAATTGCCTCATAACCAAGATAGCTAATTTAGACTCCCTGCTGCCAAAATATTTACAGAGTATAAAGAGACAATTAAAATCTGAGACCCCTCTCTTATTTTTAATATGCATAATGTATTATCTCTTGTCAATCCCTTATCTATCTTTGACTTACTTGGATCTATTCAAGCCACAGAAGATCCACTTTTTATTGTCTGCAAGATCCTTCCCCAGCTATTATCCTTTTCCTGGTAAAGATGCCATAATCCAAGGGTATGCTGTTGCCAGGCCCCTTTGGGGAGGTGCAGTGCTGTAGTGACTGGCAAGCTTTAAATTCCATACGTCACAGGAATTTTTAATCTAAGTCACCCAAAAAAAAGTTTGGAGTATCTTGGCTAGGAATTGAGACTCCTGGGGAGCTTGGGAAACTATCTTTCCCTGAGTCTTGAGATGTCACAATACTCTTGGATTGTCCAAGAGATGCCTTCCAAGAGCAACAAGTTCAGGATATATCTGCCCATTTTCGGACATCCAAGTCTAGAAGCATTGCTAGATAGTCAAAACCAACCCCAATTCTTATACTAAGCTATATTTTAATGAATGCTAATACATCCCCTTTACACTTATATTTATTGACCCAGAAGAAAACCACATGATCTAGATCAAGAAATAGATAAAACATGAGAGACAGGACTGTATTTCCTGCTACCTTTGAGTTGGGGAGAAACCTGACATGACCCTTTATGCCCTCCAAGAGTCAATGAGTTGACACATAGATAAAGCAGAGTGTATGGATGCCTGGGGAGGATACTGGTCTTTCACATCATTTGGATAGTTAGTGACAAAGACTATCATCCACATAGTCTGTCTTCCATCTCAGCCCACTCCTGCTAAGTCAGGACTTTCCATTCTCCATCCTTCAAGGTACACAGGTCCACATCCATTCATCCCCAACAGTTCTTACCTGCCTCCCTTGGTCTCGGAAGAATTCTCCAGTATTCTCAATAACCTGTTCATCTGACAGCTGGGAATAGGGCTGTTCCTGGCAAAAGGTGAAAGTCTCCCACAAAGTAACCCCAAAGGCCCACACATCACTTGCCGTAGTGAACTTGCCCTATTCAAGTAAAGAAAAGAATGGGAAATCAGAATAACCTGTGCACAACAATACCTGGTTAAATTTCATAATCTGGAGCTATACCCCTTCCCCTACCACAGACAAGGAATTCTGAAAATGCCAAGATGTGCATGGAGTATTTAGAAACAGCCCATTCTCTCATTCTCATGATCTCACCTTGGTTTTGTTTCTTTGTGATCCAAGAGCTGAAAAAAATGCAGCCATAAGCTATCTGACTCTGCAACTGAGTGTTAGGTCAACCTTTCAACTCTAGGGTAGCCTTGGGAAAATGCTCCTGAGAAAGGCAAAATCTGAATGGGAAGTCAATGGTTTTTATGTTAGAGATAGAGGACTCTAGTTTAAGTGCCTGCAGTGAATCCAGGACTCTCATTTACCAGTTCAGTTATCATCACAGTGTTGAAAGATAGACTTTAACAAGTGACAGCAATGAGATTCAGGTGTAAATAGCATGCATTGACTACTCACATTTTCTACTCAATACAGACAACAACATTGTGAAGTTGATGATATTATTTATTTTTTAATTTTTTTTTCTTTGAGAAATGGGGTCTTATTATGTTGCCTAGCCTGGAGTGCAATGGCCAGTCACGTTTGATCTCACTACTGATGAATACGGGAGTTTTGACCTCCTCTGTTTCTGATCTGGGTTGGCTCATCCCTCTTTAGGCAACCTGGCGGTCCACTGCTCCTAGGGGTGACCATATTAATGCCAAACTCGGTGAGGACACCCAATAGGTATAGCGCAGCATAGCCCAGATTTTCATCCTCCTGTCTCAGCCTCCTGAGTAGCTGGGACTACAGGTACACACCACCATGCCAGTTATCCTTATTTTTTAGATCAGAAAAATGAAACAGGAGCGGTTTCCCAGATTCTCCTGGTTAATAAGGCCATTAGTAGTGGAAAAACCGGATTTGAACCAAGGTCCTCTGAATGTCAGTCTAATATATTGTTTTCAACACCGCATAATACCTTTAGGGAGAGTAATGCCTAACTATCCCATTAGAAATGGGTAAAATATAGCAATTCACATACATAGGTGAAAAAGATCTTTATAAGGATTTATGTAAACTGGTGTACATCACAGTATCATTCATAATAGCAGGAAATTGGAAAGTACTTAAATATCAAATTATAGAGGCATTATTAAGTTATAGGATATATCTACACAATGGAATATTATGCAGATAATAAAATGTTAAGTTAAAAATAGAGATAGAGAATTGTATGGCATAGTGTCATCCCAATTATGTAATATAAATTACATGTACGTACATATGTATATAAATGCATGCATAGAAAAAAATTGCATGCATAGAAACAACATATGTATAGAAAAAAGTCCTCAAAGAAAATATACCAAAGCATTGATAGTGGCTATCTTGGTGAGTGGAAGGGAATAACTATACATTTTTTATTTCAAAATTAATTTATAAATCCTATAAGAATATCAGCAGGAAATAAGCAGATTAATCACAAATGAACAAAACCAAATTGGTCTCAGACTTTTTTGTACAATGTTACACAAGAAAAAAGGTAAAATAACATGTACATGGCATTGTAGGAAGTAAAAGTCTAATGAGTCTATAAATCAGCTGAGTGGTTGTAAAATCAACAATAAAAAGTCTCAGGTATGCATGGACAGAAAATACACCTCTAAGAGAGATATTACTCACTTATGGTATGGAATATCAAGAATCGAATAAAAATTAAACAGCAAAGAATGATGAACTTAAAAAGAACATCTTGAAAAGTACTGAAATACAATTATAGGAATTAGTCTATATAATTATGAGAACCATGCTTATGAAACTAATGGAGAAGAAAATATTTTGTATAGGTAACATTTCTTTAAATGATAAGGTTTTTAATACTTTAAGTTAAGAACAATCACTAGGTAGAAATAATAAAGAGAAACAAAGATAATAAATCTCTTATACTTTTTAACTTGTCTCCCTAAATTAAGTGTGTTAATTTTTTAGCAGAAATAGGCAAGCATTAAATAATAAGAGTTAGTACACAAAGAAAATAATTTCAAATCAGAGAAAATATTAGTCTATTGAGTTTGCCTTCTGCTGTCTCAGGTTTGTCTCCACGTGTCATGCGTGCCCACAAGCCAGTTGTTAGACAGGGCTTTAAAATGCTGAGAACTCACCAGCAAGATACTTTCCCAAGACATCCAGCGGATAGGGAGCACTGCCCGGCCCTGGATCCGGTAATAGTCACCACTGTACAGGTTCCTGCTCATTCCAAAGTCAGCTATCTTGATTGTGTAGTTCTTACCCACTAAGCAATTTCGTGTGGCCAGATCTCGGTGAACGAAATTAAGAGAGGAAAGGTACTTCATGCCAGAGGCAATTTGGGTAGCCATAAACTTCAGATTGGTGTAACTGAGGAAATAGACAAGAAGACAGAAGGTAGCCTATGGAAACAGGAAGATGTGAAAGGTACACATTCTAAAATTTGTATCAACAAACTAGGGTTGAAAGCTCAACATTCTTTTTCTACTCTTGATGAATCCCTTGCATTCCCCCAAAGGGCAGCTGCTCCATTATTCCCTGCACACTAACTTCCCTCACCATCCCAGAACAGTGATACACTTTAAGGCTCACTGCTCCCTACTTTCAGATCCCAGGTTGCTCTCATCACCACAGGGAGAAGACGGAAGACCTGGCTTGTTTACCTGACAGTGGGTACATTGCTGGAGGAAGAATTAGGGGGCTCATGGCGAGAAAGAAACTGATTGAGATCTCCATTTTCCATGTATTCAGTGATCATGCAGAGAGGGTCATCAGTGATACACACAGCTAATAGATGGATGATGTTTGGGTCCTTGAGCCGAGACATGATCTTTATCTCCTTAAGAAAATCATTCCTTGGGAGGATACAGACAGATACAATCAGAAGTTGCCAGAGTCAGAATCAAGAGGGAGAAGAATGCACACCAAGGTCTATTCCTAGACATTATACCAAATCTTGTTTCACTTTGGATAACTTTTGAGAGGACAGAGAAATTGACACCTGGATCTGTCTCATTCTATTCCTCCTGAAATATCATGAACCCTTATTCAATTGTAATGTTTTTGAGAACGAGATCCATGATCTATTCACATTTCTATCCCTCACATCTAACAAAATCCCTGCCACACAGAAAGTGATTAATATTTGCTGAATCAAAAATAGGCTGCTAAAAACCATTCTACAAAGTAAAATGTTTCACTGAAAATCGTATCTTAAGTGCACGAGGATATTTACCTTTTTTTTTTTTTTTTTTTTTTTTAAGCCATGGAGTCACTATATTACTAAAGTGAAGAAACTTTGTATGATGTGAACAACCATACTTTGGCTTACCTGATTACTCTTTATTTTCTCATACTGACTTTTCTTAATGCAGTATGAACCGTCAGTCAGTTGCAACATGTATTTAGTAGCCTGTCCAAAACAGAGCTCTTTAAAGGCTGTGGTAGTCATGTCAAAAGAAGTATTCATTTGACCAAGACTAATAATTGTTTGAGTACATGGCGGCAGACATCCTTGGGTCATAAAGTAGCAAGATTTTGTTAGTGAGGCCTCTAGCCCACATTCCCAAAACTATTGGAGCAGATGAGTTATAAGCCCTCCAAGAGTTTTCTAGGAATCCTAGACTGGAAGTCATACTATGTCAATATAAACCACTGGAATCAATGCAGTCCTGATGCAACACCTCCCCTCTTTCATTCCCCCTTCCGTCTCAAACCAGGGGTTTTCATGGCTTGGGAGGGTTCACAGGCCATCCATCACTGCTAAGGACACAGGTGGAGGAATGGCAAACTTCACCAATCGGAACAATGGAGAAAGGCTTTGTCATATCCTATGTCCTGTGGTTTTGTTTTGTTTTGTTTCCCCTCATGCCACTTTCTCCAGTCGTGTGCTAAGATTAATATAAGAAATACTTAATCTCTCTATGAGACCCAGAGAATGTCACTTTTTATTCTTAACAGTATCTTAAAGTTTGAAATTATCAGTTAAATTTCTAAAGCCTCCAGTTTCATTTCCTCACCTTTCTCTCTTCTTTATCTTACATCCTGTCCATTGCAAGACTTTTAATGAAGTCTATCACTATTCTTGGAATTTATGATAATTTGGAAAATAAGAATAATAAACTTTTTTTTCACTTATGAATATCAGTGAGACAAATCAAGACAACATGAATAGGAAAAATGTATAGGTTATCCAGGTATGGAGATTTCTCTGGGACACATACAACCAGCTTTCAACCAGCTTGTCTCTCTGGGTGAGGATAAACTCACCATTATTGTAATGGAAAGGCTGTCAGACAATGGAGTGTGGCTGGAAACTGCAATTTATGTAGAAAAAGATCCAAGAGATTATTAGCCAGTTTGGAAAACTGCTAGAGAACCGTGGATCCTTTTGCTTTGAGGTTCATAGATAATTTTCCAAATAGAGGTAGCTTCTCATTTTGAGGGTTGCTGGAGATAGAAGAAAAGGAGCATAAAAGAGAAAAAAGGGATGAGAAAATAAATAGAAATGTGAAAAAAGGAGACTGGAAGAGGCTTAGCAAGAAAGTCATGTGTGATTGTGAAGACTTTGTCAAGAGGAGGTAATGACATGCAGGAGTATGTCTGCATGTAAAGACCAAAGAAGTACACATCTAGACAGTTGTATATGTTGGGAAGTACAGTGCTTGTGCACAGGGGGTTAGGAAGTAAATATGTGGCAAGTACAATGGAAAATGTGCCTTTGTGTTTGAAAGAGGTGGAGAAAGAGATGAGGACTGCTGACCCCATCAAAGTAAGAAAAAGGATAACAGTGGAAATGGGAGGCAGCTCACTGACCTCCCCATCTCAAAAGAAAAAATTGCTCAGAAGTATCCAGGAGTATTCCTGGTCCTAAAGATGAAATACATAAAGGAAAATTCAAAATGTAGACCACAGACCTGGCATTCTTGTTGGCATCTGCTCGGAGCATTTTCACAGCCACCAGGACAGGCTGGTTGGCACTGACATCTAGGGCAAAATCTTTGTCTTTGAATTTTTCCATTCCCTCCACTTCACAGAGATGAACCTAGACAAAAGTCATCTAGTCTCAGCATCATCATTTCTCCTGAAGATGTCTCAGTACTCTTGCTGGGCATTTCCTGGAGATAAACTAACTCTTACAACTCAGGCAAAATGATCAAAAGACCAATAAGAAGATATGTGCAACATATCTATGATTCAAATAACTGATAAGATTAAAAACAATGGTAAAGTACCCAGCTAATATGCTACTTTCCTGCCTTAGAAATACACATTGATTGGAACATTAAGTGAATGAATGAATCAGTAACAATATTATATTACAGCATAGCCCAATATAAAATGTCTTTTATTACAAATGCTTGAACTTTGGTTCATGAGTCACTGGATCATGTAAAACATAAGGCAGTTTCCTTAGCATAGGGTTTAGCATTATAAGCAACTCCTGTGTGTTAGCAACAGTATAACAGATACGGGTTTTCAACCCAGGGGACATAGTGAGTACATGTCACACCATGAACAGATAACATGGGCCCCTCCACTTCTTGCAACACCAGACCTATCCAAGGAGAGAACATGAGATCCACACTGAAAACCAATAAGACATCTTAGGAAACCAAGTGTTTTATTTGGAGTTTAGATGGCAGTGGTGAAGAGTTCCTATTACAATTCAAAACATTGCTTTGAGCTCCCAGAAGGTTCATGTGACTGATGCAAGAGTGAAAAGTTTAATAATGCATGCATCACTCTGAGGGCAAATGAAAAGAGTACTCCTCCTTATCTTGGTTGGTGATTCACTCCCTAGTGGCTGATTCTGGGACCAAAGGCAGGGGCGAGGTTGTTTTTGACCATTTTACATATAACTCTCATTAAAGGGGAAAAAAACAAAGTGGCTCTTGAGAAGCAGAATGTTCCTGGACAGTTCATAAAAGATGATCACATCTTGTGGATCCCACCCTGCATAATCTATTGTAAACATTTTTGAAAATATTGAATGTGTTTCAAGATATCTGAAGTCTAGTGACTTGCCTGCCTTAAAAACTCCTGTATAGAAATCAGAAGTCCCAGGAACTCCACAGCTATTAAAGATGAGGTTGATCCAATACTAGAATCCAGAGGACAACGCAAGGAGAGACAAGTGGAAGAGACACTCTGTTGTGAATCCACCTCTGGAAGGGACTGTTTGTTCTACTGACCATTTTTATCCAACCACCTCCTTCGAGCTCTAAGGGACTGGAGGCCCCACTCAAAGAATCAACTCACCTCCCCAAACTGTCCTTCTCCCAGCTTCTCTTTGAAAGTTAAGAGTTTCCTGGGGAACTCCTCCACAGCCACATCTTTTCCTGAGAGCAGGTCCATGGTGACGGCAGGCACTGAGTATGTGTTGCCTCCTGTCACTCCCTGGAGGTTCACTATGTCAGCCTCTGCATAGTGGGGCACCCCCTCAGGGCCACTGGGCTGGACTGGCTTCACAACACCGCTGCAGCCTGGGAAAACAAGGGCAACGAGCCTCATTCCATGGAGCATCTTTGGAGATCTCTTCAGGAAGGAACTCTGAGAGGAGGGCTAAAACATGCCCCTGTGAAAGCCTAACCTGCTTCATGACATTCTTACTTGGAAAATGATTTTGCTTCCTCTAAAGATTTTCTTGTGGCCTTCAGAATGTAGAACACAATTTTATTTCTCATTCTTTTCCTCATAATACATGACCATTTACAAATTCTGTGGCTAAACTTGTGGAATTGTGTGGTGAAGCTATAGGAAGGCTCATGGTATATCAGGGTGGGAATATTAAAGGTTGAAGGTTTAATAATGTATTTCCTCAATTTTAAGACACTGTTATTGACTTAAAAACTGATTTTAGGTATAAAAAACTTTCAGATTAAAGACATATGATCTAGTTTAAAACATATTCTAACTTAAAAAAAAAAAAACATTAAAATACAAGGTGGGGAACGTTTTAAACTTAGGAAATAGGTAAATTACTTCCATTCACCCTAAGAAATAAATCAGTTTATATCCTTAGTTCTTGCTGCCTCTGTGAAATTACTTGAATTTAGCATGCTCTTTCATGTCTTCTGTCCATTGAATAATAAAATAGATGCAAGTTTCCTTTTATCCTTTGAAAAGACCACTTCAGGCTCCTTCCTGTAAAATCTTATGCTCTTGAATTTAGTCCTGTCTGCTTTTACATTCAGCTCAGGCCTAGCTCCTCTCTCCTCAACACTACAAGGTATTTTCTACTGGCTTGAGTCCCTCAGGTAGATGACCTTATAGAAAAGTTGCTCTGAGCTAAAGAGGTGACTCCAGCTTCCCTTCTGATATGACTCTGCATCATTTTTTAAAAGACATTGAAATTTGAATGAACTGACACTACTTACTATTTTACCTGTTTTATTTCAATGCTTTTATTGAGAAAAGGGGAGAAATATTTTACTCTCATAATAAAATCTCATATTACTCTAATAAATGTTTACCAAAGAGAAATTACCAAAAAATAGATAACTCAAGTAGTTATTTATTTTAGTTATTTAAATGGCTATACCACTGGGAATTTTGGAATGTCTTTAGCTTCATTTATTTATTTATTTCTCCAGGTGAAAATCTAGTCCTGCCTTTACCCACTTATGAAATTTGGTGTTGGATGAGTACTCTATCTGGGCTTTTTCACTTTCCCGACATGTGAAATGAGGTTAGACTGGTTGGACTGTTTAGGTTCTTGTGGTGTTAACACCTAATTCACATGTTTTTTTTTTTTTCTTTATTTTCTGATATGTGGGTCCCTCCACACATCTTATATTCAGTAGCAAGGGAGAGGTGCTCAAATTGGGCCAGGAGCAGCTGCAGACCAAATCTAGAAAGAGAATGTGGACTTCTCAGGAGGTTAGTAGAGACTAAAAATAGATACAGTTAACTGGGAGCAGGTGCGTCATTCCTACCTGAGGCTTGTCGAAGTTTCTCCCTCGATTCCCTGCCCACCACATCATCCTCACCTGACTCCTCCTCCCCTGGAGCAAATTCTGGGAGTTTTCGTATCAGCCTGGATGGCTCCTGGTAGTCAGGGCGAAGGGGAAAGATGCGATCGTAAGTCGAGTTGGACTCTTGTTCACTAGGTGATGAGGAGCGGTTATTGTTGAACATGCTAGAATCACTTGGCAGGGAAAGGCTGACTGTCATTTCATCATCCAGCATCCTCCGAGAAGCCTGGAAGAGAATAACAAGGAGAAAGACACGCTGGCACAAAAAAGATGGTCAATTCCTCCCCTTCTTAAACTCAGCTCTTCCACGAAAATGAAATAACTCTTTACTACTGTTTAACCCCAGTGACACTGGACGTGCTAGGGATGCAGTCTGGGTCCACAAATGCCTGTGTTGTAGAAACTTAGAATAATCCTTCATTTCTTCAAGGTAGAATTTGATCTTCTAATTTCTATGATGTGCTTTCTGAAACACTTAAAAAAAAAAAAAAAAAGGATTATCTCCTTGATGCTATAAGAACCTATCAGTAGCCAAATATCTCAATCTTATAGAGTTTTCTATGTTTTATTAAATGATGGGTTTTGCTGGCTTACCCTTTAACTGCTTGGTTTTGGAATAGACATAAATTTTTTATTAACTTAATAAATGCACTATAACATGATGAATCAATAGTTCTAATTGATCATTCTGACACCCTAAATTAGGATAATACCCACCACTGACCCATATTTTCACTAACCAAAAATAAAATGGCTACAATATGGGACAGGAAAGCTCTAGGTGTCCAGAGATAACAATGTGACTTACACCTAATAAGGGAGGGAGAACAACAAAGCAACCACTTCTGTGGTATCTTATCTAATATAACCTGCCTGCTCCATCAAAAGGAAAATGCCAACATTTGCATGTATGTGACTATTTGAGTTTAAGCATGTAAAATGCTCCACTCCAACAAACACAGCTTGGGTGCTCAATGGCGAAACTTAGATGTGCACTTTTCCACTAGACTGAAAGGTCTTTTGTTGCAGTAATATCCCCAGTACAAGCATGAAGCTCAGAACGAAGTAGGTACTCAATATATGTGGGTTGAATCTCTCAAAGAGGGAATGTTGAGGACACCATCAAAAGTATCCTACAAACAATGCTACAGTCTACAGCTATGTTAAGTAATGTTCTTAGAATATATGTGTGTACTCAATGATTTTCCACATAAAATTTTGTTCCCAGGAAGAAATCCTGGGTGTCATTCCAGAGCACCTTGAGTCATCTTACTCAGGGTGTACAGGGGTAGAATTTCTCAGAGGACCAAGTTAAATATTCAAGGGAAAAATGTTTGCTCTACCTTTTACCTGGAGATTCCAACATTTCTCTCTTAGCCCATGAAGATATTCCAACAGGCCTCAGAATAAAGACTCAGAGAAGTGTGGTAAATTGTGGCTCACATAAAGAGAAAAAGAGCTCATAGAGTAGAGAACACAGACCCTCCTCCCTTGGCTAAAATGTGGTCCTAACAGACTATTTAAGAAGGTTACATATCCTCTTCAAGCAGTTCAGTGAATCTTCAGTTCACCACCACCCTCACTCTGGAATACCTCATTAAACACTAGTGTGTTCCAGCATTCTAAAGGAGGAAAAGTTTTGATATTTGCCTCATTCATGCCTTGAGACACCTCATGACAGTGAGTGAGTCTCTGTGGATTCTGTCTTTCAGTCTTCTGTGGCTATTTGTGAATTGAAAGCTTTAAGTGTTTTCAGACTAGTAGACATAATTGTGGGAAGCAAGGAGACCTCTTACATGAAATATTCCTGCCTAAAAACCTTAAAACAAACATCAACCATCTCAGGAACCTGAGGGTGGCACAGGTCAGAAGGAATTGCAGGCTACTCATCAGGATTGCTCCTCCTTACCCTTGATTTGAGCCATATTTCTCCCATCCTACATCTAGAACGCTCTGGAGACTCAAGCCCATTCTCATGGTGCCCTTTCCTCTTGTCTGGAATAGAGATCCCACACAGGCATTGTTCTCCTCTGAGACCCCACCCCCAAACACCGAAATCAATCAGGATTTCTCCTTCTTCCTGTTCCCTGCCCTCAGGAGGCAGTTCAAAGCCCCACAGCTCAGAGTTTCTGTGGCTTCTCCTAGTACATGTCTAATGAGAGGAACTCATTGACCAGGAAAGGTGACCATGGCCAAACGCAGAAATACTTAATCATCAGCAGGCCCCAAAAGAATAGACACTAAGCAGCAGTGAGTTGCTATTTGGTCCAAGAAAGCAAGACAAGTCATAGATACTCCATCTTTGATGAAATGAATGTAGAAAGAAATAAATGCATTTCAATATTAACAATTTGAAAAAGCATGGAAGACTGGACACCAGTTGTATGACCTTAAGCACATCACATTTTCTCATCAGAAGAATAGTTAAATATAACAATACCTATGAGTTATTACTCAATGAGGTATATATAAAATTATGCATGAGGAAAAAGTCTGCTTCTTGTAAAGTGTTAGACAATGTAAAAAGTTATTCAGATCAGTTGGCATAGACAGAGTCTGAAAAGGGACTCAGAGGGATACATAATCATAACCTTCAAGTGAACAAAAGTAGAAATAGAGTAGTGAGAAACTTGACTTGAACATTCATGAAGCTGGATGTTTTTCTACACACACACACACACACACACACACACACACACACACACCAAACAGACAAGCAAAGTGAAAAAGATGAGAAGGAACTTCAACAGCATTATCAGAAATTTCAGCTTGGCATTAGGAGAGAGTAATTCTTAAATTTGAATGTGCATCAGAAGCACTTGTTAATTTTTTTTTTAAGTATGGATGCCTGGCCTCCACCCAAAATCCAGTGAATCAGAATCTTCAAGGAAAATGCCTGAGTTGAGATTCAATGTATTAAGAAGAGTTTTCTGCATTTTCGAGGAAGGTTAGGGAGGTTCCAACATCTCCACTCTAAAAATGAGAAAATAGACTTAGCTAATTCTTTTCTGGCTTCATTCCTATGTTTCTTGGTAGCCTCAATTAACTCCAACCATTAATAAATGTTTGCAATGTGCCTTTTACTCCTGGGGCAACAGTGGCTTAAGAAAGAAAGGAGCAGTTTTTGGTATCATGGCCGTTCTGCACCTCCTCACCTTCTCCAGCATTTTCTGCCAGAACTGCCTCCAGAGGATGATGACAATGATGGCCAGGAGGATAAAGATGATGGCCACCAAGCAGCCAATCAGGATCCGAGTGTTGCTGTCATCAATTTTAAGCATTGGATCTGTGACCAGGGAGAGAAGGCAGAGAATACAATTATCTCACAGGTCAAGTAAAAGTATGAGGGACTGGACTGGAAACATGGAGGTAGACCCTGTTCCTTGAAGATAATTATGGAAGATGCCACCTTAATACTTCTGTTTATTCTTGTTCTTGCTACAGGTTTGTTTTTTTTTTTTTCTTGCTACTGTTTTATTACTTTTTTTTTTTTTCCTGAGACAGAGTCTTGTTCTGTCCCTCAGGATAGAGTGCAATGGTATGATGTCGGCTCACTGCAACCTCTCCCTCCCAGGTTCAAGCAATTCTCCTACCTCAGCCTCCTGAGTAGCTGGGATTACAGGCATGCGCCACCATGCCCGGCTAATTTTTGTATCTTTAGTAGAGATGGGGTTCTCCATGTTGGCCAGGCTAGTCTCAAACTCCTGACCTTGTGATCTGCCTACCTCTGCCTCCCAAAGTGCTGGGATTACAGGTGTGAGTCACCATGCCCATCCTGTTTTATTACTTTGTTCACAAATCCTACTTCCCTCTTCCATAAGACAGTAGTCTCCCTCTCCCCGTGTGTCAGACAGAATAATGGTGAGTTTTTCTATTCTTCCCAAAATTTTGTCCCTGTATTATTATGGCCTGAGTCTATGGTCCCTTAATCACACTTCATGAAAAATAGTTGAAGAATCAGTTTCATTCTCTGCATTCTTTGAGACATGCCAAGGGAGCTGAAAGTCCTCTTTGGACACATGCAATCACACATGTTTCCCACATAGCTGGCTAGTGTCACCAATGACTGCCTAAAGCAAGGCATACATGGCATATTTATCTCCAATTAGAGAGATCAACATTTTGTTTCTTAGATTTTCACCCCTTCTTAGAAATACCCACTATGGGTCTGACCTAGGAATGTCCCTTTCCCTGTTTCTGACCCCAAATTTCCAAACTTTCATGGAGAAATTGGGACAACTCCAGACTCTGCCTCAGCTGAAGAAGCACATGAATCAGTAGTGAAGAGAGTATATTTGGATCCATAACTTGGAGGTAGACAGTCCTACCTTTCCAGGGCTACTCTTCATCCAAAGCCAACTGGTGTAAACCCTCCCACACAGCCAGGGCTTTGCAACTCTCTACCCTTCTTCATCCTCCAGGAAGTCCCTTCAACTTAATTTGTATAATTAGGAATCACACATACCATAGGTTGTGGGTGTCATAGGAGAGGTGGGCAGGGCTCCAGAGTTGTTGTACATTGCAGCATCTGTTATAAAACAAGGGTGAGTCAGAGCCAGGGAGAAGACAGATAGCTGTGTTTTCTCTGAAGTCATATTGTGACCTAGCACATTATGAAATCAATTTAGTGAGTTGCCATCAGTCTTTTAAAAAGATAAAATCATAAATATATCAAATAAAAGTATCACCATTTATCTAAATAGTAAGAGCAAGTTTTCCTTTGTAAAATTTTTGTTTCACATATTACATACTAGATGCTATGGTACAAAAAAGTTTAAGAAACAGCGATTCAACAGGCTGTGACCATGCATTATTATAAAGCATAAGAAGCAGGACCCAAATTCAGTGAAAATATAGACATAATATGGCAGGTAAATGGGCAAGAGATAGACATAGTGTTAAGATGCTTTTTCCTTCAAGGAAATTAGATTGTTTATAAAAGAGTCTCCACTATGCCTCATCGGTCTAGGCCTTCAATTTATGAATTAAGGCTTCATCTTTATAGATATTTACTGACATTGGAGGGTCCTCTACTGTGATTTTGCAGCTTCTGAGACTAAACCACAAAAGTGTATTTGCCAGATTGATGTTGGCAGCTTTGCCTGAATTTTTCCCTCTGATTTGTCTAATCAAGGGGGTCAAGAATTAGAATACGTATTTCCTTTCTAAGAGATATTTCTTCCAACTATCCTAATTTTTCTTCTTCTTAACATTATTATATAAATAAGGAGGTATCTGGCCTCTGCATGTGCTTTATGAGTTCAGTTATCAGGCTCCAGTGAAAACTAATATTATTATGCATTGGATTTAAAGCTCAAGAGACCCCAGGAGTCAAAAACCATGCTTCATAGCTATAATTAGCTGTAATAAGTGTACTGATTACTATGCCAGGAGAATCCCTGAGGATGGGTAGTAATCTATTTGTCCCCCAGTTAACACTTACAGTATAAGTGGCATTGACTTTGAGTGTCTTGATTTCTACTCTCAGTATTCAGATAAAACAATCAATCAACTTAAAACAATCAATCAACTTACTGTTAGATTGAATCATTAGCACAGAAGGCATTTAAACATCAAACCTGTTTTCCTAAAAATATGCTCTATTGTCTTATCAGTACATCTTAATAAGCAAACCATCTTGAATTTTTTTCCCCCCTTAAAAATCAAATCTGAAAGGATGGGTTCTTCTGGTTTATCTTTTTGTTTTTTGTTTTTTTGTTTTTGTTTTTGTTTTTGTTTTTGTTTTAACAGGGTCTCACTCTGTCACCCAGGCTGGAGTGCAGTGGTGCGATCTCGACCCACTGCAAGCTCTGCCTCTGGGACTCAGGTGATCCTCTCACCTCAGCCTCCCAAGTAGCTGGGACTACAGGCATGTGCCACCACACCCAGCTAATTTTTGTGTTTTTTAAAGAGATAGGGTTTCGCCATGTTACCCAGGCTAGTCTTAAACTCTTGATAACAAGCAATCCTCCTGCCTTGGCCTCCCAAAGTGTGGTTTATCTTTAAATTAGTCTCTTCCTCTCTCTTGTGTTATTTTACACCTGGACTTTTCTTCCAGGCCCAGTACAAATCTTATTTCTTTGATGCTGTCTATGACAAACACACTCTAGTGCCTCTCTCCTTCTGACCATTTATTGTTCATATTGCTTTGGACATTTCTTTCTTTTTTTTCAGCATTGTGTGTCTTTTGTCTCCCCATCTAAAATTTAATAGTGTGAACAATATTCTAAACACCTTTTAACTTTTCAAGATTTGGCACAGTTTCTGGTATCAGTAAGTTAAATCACTATTTGCTGCTGTTACTGTCCAATCAAAAGTAGTGTTTACAGTTTAAAACGAATCCCTAAAAGTTGAAACAAATGGAATACAATGAACCTAACTGTATATCACATTGGTGACACAACTACATACAGAAAAAAATTATCCCACTGTTACCCTAACTGTATACCACATTGGTGATATAACTATATACAGAAAAGAATTATACCACTGTTACCCAACTGACCTTAGAACACAGTGCTTTGACTGTACATTCTTAGTAGGATATATTCTCAGGACAAAGAAAAGAGAATTGTTACAAAATCTTAATGCTCAATAGTTATGTTGCTAGTAATAATATTGGTATTGCTTTTTGAATAACAGGATGAAGAAAATGCTGTTAACATTGTTAGGAAACATGATATTTAGCATAAATAATAGAGATGAAAGTATAAAATCAAGTTTAAATAAAAACCTTATCTTTAATTTCAATTGGAAATAACAATGTAAACTCATAATCTTTTTCTTTTTAAATATACATATTGAATTGCTTTCTTCCACCAAAAAATTCAAGAAACAATGACAACCTATTAGCAATGAACATCCCTACTGCCCAGTTTGTGTTCTCTAAATACCATTTTCTACTAAAAGGAATCAAGATTTCTTGAAGAAATGGTTGATTCCATGTTGGGCACAGTGCATGTTCAAAATGAGCTTGAAATACCTTGTTCTTTCAGAAAACAAGAAAGATATCAAAGGCTTCTAGGGTCAGATCCAAAGAGCAAAGAGCCCCCTTAAAAATGCAAACTCTAGGCTGGGTGCAGTGGCTCACACCTGTAATCCCAGCACTTTGGGAGGCTTAGGCGGGTGGATCGTCTGAGGTCAGGAGTTTGAGACCAGCCTGGACAGCATGGTGAAACCCTGTCTTTACTAAAAATACAAAAAAAAAAAAAAAAGAAAGAAAGAAAGAAAAAAAAAGCCAGGCATGGTGGTAGGTGCCTGTAAGCCCAGCTATTCGGGAAGCCGAGGCGGGAGAATCGCTTGAACCTGGGAGGCGGAGGTTGCAATGAGCCAAGATCGTGCCATTGTACTCCATCCTGGACAACAGAGCAAGATTTTGTCTCAGAAAAAAAAAAAAAGAGCAAACTCTAGTCAAAGACAGCACAACTTGAGTATTAAAAAGAATAATGACTGGGCACGGTGGCTCACACCTGTAATCCCAGCACTTTGGGAGGCCAAGGCAGGCATATCACTTGAGTTCAGGAGTTCAAGGCCAGCCTGGCCAACATGGCGAAACCCTATCTCTACTAAAAATAGAAAAACTAGCCAGGCACAGTGGCAGGCACCTGTAAGCCCAGCTACTTGGGAGGTTGATGCAGAAGAATCACTCAAACCCAGGAGGCAGGGGTTGCAGTGAGCCGAGATCACACCACCTGCATTCCAGCCTGGGTGACAGGGAGGGACACTGTCTAAAAAAAAAAACAAAAACAAAAACAAAAAAACAAAAAAAAACCCCTGCAATCGATTAAACATTAAATTGATAAAAAGCAATTAGTTTATAATTATACCAAAAAATAAGAGTAAAAAACAAACTTCATTAGACATTATTGAGGGTTGCTAGGGTATCAAGTTATTACTCTGAAAATTAATAATTAAAGGGGAAAATAAGTCACATATCCTGGTCTTTCAATGTGATTTCTGAGTAAACTGGTGCATGAAGAATAATTATTCTATTTGGAAGAAATTCAGCTAAGAAATGCAGAAAAAAAGTAAAGAATTAGAAAATCATCATTTAGCAACCCCTAGTGAAATAAGTAATTCAGACAGTGGTTATTAATGGAGGATAAAACTTAAGGAAGAAGTTCATGAGGAACCAGAAATCAATCTTAGTATCATAAAAAGTGAGAGGATCTAGCATTATATCCCCATGATGAAGTTCAGCATAAAATATACAACACTATCCATAAAGAATTCTTGACAACCATCAGTGGCAGACTGGATTAAGAAAATGTGGCACATATACACCATGAAATACTATGCAGCCATAAAAAAAGGATGAGTTTGTGTCCTTTGTAGGGACATGGATGCAGCTGGAAACCATCATTCTTAGCAAACTATCACAAGAACAGAAAACCAAACACCGCATGTTCTCACTCATAGGTGGGAACTGAACACTGAAATCACTTGGACTTGGGAAGGGGAACATCACACACTGGGGCCTATCATGGGGAGGGGGTAGAGGGGAGGGATTGCATTGGGAGTTATACCTGATGTAAATGACGAGTTGATGGGTGCTGACGAGTTGATGGGTGCAGCACACCAACATGGCACAAGTATACATATGTAACAAACCTGCACGTTATGCACATGTACCCTACAACTTAAAGTATAATAATAAAAAAAATAAAAAAATAAAAAAACAACTTTCTGATAATAAAGAAATAGGATGGCAAAGTAAAAAAAAAAAAAAAAAAGAATTCTTGACAAAAATAGATATTGAACTTGAATCAAATTGACCTGTAGATGTAAGCACCCAGTCATTAGGAATGACAGAGAACAGAAGCTCAAGTAAAATGACACCACAGAAAGCCATCAGCCAAGCCAGAATCCTTAAAAAAAAAAAAAAAGGAAGGAATTGTTTTAGATTAAAAGAGATACAGGGCAAATAGAATAAAGAAGCACACCAAGAGATCCTTATTTTGATCCTTATTTGGTAACGCCAACTGAATTAAGACATTGTTGGACAGTTAGTCATACTTGAATATGGACAGGATATTGGGTTGTATTTAGAAATTATTTAATAATAAGGGTTGTTAGATGTTATCATGGCATTATAGCTATGAAAATGACACTATTTTCTTAGATGCAGTCAAAGTATTTGCTAATGAAATCAAATAGTATCTCACATTTGCTTTAAAATGCTACAGCCAAAAGGAAGGAATAGGTGAAACAAATATGGCAAAATATCAATGATTAGTAAAGCTGAGTGACGGGTGGTTTATTGTTCTCTTTACTTTTGTGTATATTTAGAGATTTTCATTTAAATATCTCAGTAGTGCTTAGGTGTGCTTTTTCTTAGCACACTTATTAACTGCCTTAAATTATATAAAATTTTTAACACACTATACTCTCATTTAAAAAAAATCTTTCTAAGAAGAGTTACATGAATATTTTGTTCATTTCCATTCTCATCCTGTCCCCTCCACAATTAAAACTAGTCACACAAAGGATTCACTGCATCCAGCAATGAGAAGCTGCCTGTACCATCCCACTCCTCTCAGAGACCTGCTAATGAGAACTTCTGGCCATGTGCATTCCTCCTTCATCACCTTGCTCCCACTTCCCAAAGAGGACCTGAGCTCCCTACCTGATTGGAAGGTGATCTCACTGAACATCATCCAGGTATCAGCAAAATGGTATTGACACTTGATGGCACTGGCCATTCGGTGGTGAAGAGGCACTGTGACAAACCGAGCACTGGGGTTGACGTCATCCAGGACAAGGGGGAAGGAAATGGCATTAGGTTCCCACTCACTGGCTTCAGAGCGGAAGTAGCACTGTACCTCCTTAAAGATCTTCACACCTTTAGCAAACATGTTGTTGCAGTGGACCTGGTAGAGAAAGAGGCAAGTGAGTGACAGGTTGGCCCTGCTAAGGTGCATGGAGACAGTGCCAGCCAACTCCATAAGTGAAGACCTGCTGTTTCTGCGAGCACCACCCTTGGTAAATAGTTGGTGTTCTGCAGTCTTCTGGATTTTTCCTTCTAGGAACCTCACAGCAGCAGTGATAGTTGGTCAGGCATTATAAAACCTGGGCTGCAACCCTGGTCACCTGTATGCACTGTCTGTCCTTGGCCACCTCACTTCATGTTGCTGGACTGCAGTTTTCTCATCTGTTAAATGATGACTACACCAGCATCTTCTCAGGCCCTTCCTTGCCTTGAATTCTCTCAAGTCTATAATCCTCTCAACCACAGTTGCCATCTACCCTGATTCGAGCTATTCTGAACTGAGGTAAGAGGATGACTGCCATCCTACTTCCTCCTAGGTATGTTTCAGAGCCAGTCTACTTTTCAACAGGGCTAGGTGAGAAACCTGAAATAATATACAATCCAAAACAATTTCATCTTTTTTTTTTTTTTAGAAATCTCATTTCTAAATGAGAATACACATATTCACACATATGTGTGTGTGTGTATATATAGATGTGTGTGTGTGTATACATATATATATATATATATATATAGCAACTGTGCTGGTAAAAAGATAATCTTTGACCCTAAAAATTTGGTTTTTTTTCATCTGATATTAAAAGAAATTAAAACATTTTTACGGGTCTTAAAAATCTGTGGGCCCTGGACACTGTGTTATTGTGTTTTATGGATGTGTCACCTTTAGTGTTAGAACAAAAAAAAGAGAGAGAGAGAGAGAGCTCACTGACCTATTCTAACTCCCTTACACACAAATGGAGAACCACACCCTTAGAGGTGAAGTGACTGGTGAAATGCATTTAGCTAGTTAGTAACAGAATATGTCATTGAACCGTCATCAGCCTAGACTTCTTTCTAGCATGCCTTTTCTCTACCACACTATGATTTGTGCCTCCTTAAAGAAATTCCACCACATCCAACTGCACTGACCTTCATGGTAGTGAAATTCCTGATGCGGTCAAATTCAAACATGATCTCAATGTAGCCATTGGTGGCACTCTCGTTCCGCCAGCCCACATAGTCATAGCCGGGCCACACGTGGTATTCATGGGTCTGGGTGAAATCGTCCAGGCCAGACACACCATCAGTCAATTGGCCTAGCCCTTCTGTCATGCTGCTCAGGCCAGGAGAAGAGGAGGAAAAGGAGAGAGAAATCTGAGTTAATCACATATTCATGGAAGAGCTTTTACCCAGCATCTTTACTCCAGATTTTGTATGGGCTTATTATCTTGAAATTGAAGGACTGTAAATAATCACATTTGTATTACAGTATTGACTCATTTGTCTTGCATCAATGGAGAATTAAGAATTTCATATTAGTAATTTTTATAAAATATTTGATGCTTACCCCTTTAGTAGTAAAACCTTTAAACAATATCTTATTTAATATGAAAAGCTTTCTATAATTTATTGTACCTTGCCTATTCTTATATAATGAATATGTCTTCACATAATGACTCAATATTATCAAATGCAGTTGACGAATTAATTCACTAAGTAAATGATGAAATGCATAAATGCATAGAATAAATACTAGCATACATAGTAGCACTTGCCCCATTATCAAATAAATGTTTCCAGAGCTTGGTGCTGACTCTCCTTTAACTACATGCTGTCATTGTTCAGTGAATCAATTTCAGAGAATCCAGTCACACTCTCTTCTATTCCACATATCCAACAACCCAATTTGATATTAAATGAAAGGGAGAAAATATAAGCTCCAAATTTAAACAATAATTTCTATTTAATTTTAATTAAATTTATAGGATACTAGACCCAGGAAGTAAGATGCATGGATGTCATGAGAATCCCAGGTATTGGATTTAGTTTTGTGTTCTAGCTTAGCAGTCTTCTTTGACTTCTGAGTAAGAGGCTCTGTTTTAAAGGCTGAGTTTGCCAGAAGCCTGACTGCTGGATGGAATGTAACTGCATATATACTTATTTGACTACTTGGAGAACACAAAGAGGCTCCTTTCTTCTTTTTATGGAGGCATAGAGCAAGAACCCATCATGTGGAACTTGTCTTTCCTCAAGCTGTGCATCTCAAGCTCTGGCAGATATGACACAAATCTCCCAAATGATGAGATTGGGATACTCACCCTCAAGCAATAATGGGTGTGACCCTTGAGGTTTATTGCCAGACCAATAATTTGTAAAATTTGTGAATCGCAAAAAATAAAAAATACTAAGGGTGATTATGCCAGCCTTTTAAAATATATTTAATCATTGAAAATGTATTGTAAATTATAAAATTTGACTGGCCTTATCCACAGTGACCAGAGCCTGGATCTCCCTTCCAAGGTTTTGCCATCTTTTTCTTCTCTCTACAGATCAGAAAGCTAGGAGAACATAAGTTTACTTGCAATAAATATATTCCCCATTATCCCCAGAAAAATAAATCCCATGGAAGTCTTATGAAAAGCAACAGAAATTAAAAGGAATACCTGTTCAGTTCCCCTTTAGTCAAAATTAAATCAAGTGAAGAAGGGATAGGAAAATAAGTTTTCAATGTTTATATACTTTAGAGTTATTAAAATCACCAGTAAGCATATATTACTCTTGAAATTGTTTTAAATTTAAAAAGTAACTTTTGCTAATATGACTATTTCCTGAGACTCTGATGTCATCTCTCTTCACTCAGCCACCTCCACCAGATATTTTATTACCTCAATTATTAAATGAAGCCAATGATGTCTACATTTTTGTAATTTTTTTAATCTTTCCCTTGGAGTTCAGAGCCATAATTCTGGCTACCTTCCTTATTTCTCTACTGAATGTCTTGTCAATCTCATAGACTTAAACCCCAAACTAAATCCATCATCATACCCTACCGAACTAAATCTTTCTCCTTGGTTTCCCTTTTCCATAAATTACACTTCTCTTTCATAGTAGTGGAAAGTGCTTGGTGCATGGTAAGCACTCAAAATATATTTGTTGAATAAATACATGTCATCTCCATTGTTTCAGTCACTTAGACTGTCAAGCTTCATGTGACACTTTTTCTCACCCTGCTGTCTTGCCCCATACATCCAATCAGATTGCAAATGTCCCCTAAATGAATATATTTTCCTCATTCCCCACAGTCACGGTTATGGCCTTGGTCATTAATTCTTTTTACTTGGCAGAACTCAGAGTTTTAAAATGTTCCTCATCACCTCCTCATTCCATTCCAATCTAACCTTTGCATGCTGCTTGATTAATCTGTCTAAACCACAGCTCCAATCATGTCCTTCCTCAGCTTTAAAAATCTTCAATGACTCATTACATTAATGATAATGTTTATGAAGAACAAGAACAGCAACTTCTCCTCTTCCTCCTCCTCCACTTCTTGCTCCTTTTGGCTTTGACTTCAGGTTCCTTCAAGACATGGCATAATCTGCTTTGTTTTGCTTCTCCTGTACTACTTTGCCACATAAATATGGCCCATCATTAAATAAACTGTTGATTTTCCCAGACAGTCCCCTAAACTTTATAACCATAATTCTTTTTTCCTCATGCTATTCCCTCTGCCTAAAATTCCATTTCAAGAATCTGTATCTGTGAAAGTAGTACCCATTCTTTGGGACCCAATTCAGATTTCATCGATTCTACCATATCTTTGCAGTCCTTCAGTCAGAAAAATGATAATCAGATAACAACTTATATGTGTACAGCAATTTATCTTATGAAATGCTTTTCACACACATTTTAATCCCTTAAGCCTTGTAGCAAAGAGAAGTAACTTTTATTATATAAAATCCAGATGTTTTCATCCCCATTTTTGTGCTTTCCTACTATAGTTTACTTTTTCCTTTGAACCCCAGAGCAATCATAGGCTATCTCTTGCTCATATACTCGAATCATAATAACTTATATTCTGTTTTAGCCCCTACTCCAAATTGTGAGCTCTTTAAAGGTAAGGTCAATGACTTCATTACCTTTGAATACCTAACATGCCTGGCCAAATTCCTTGTATATAGTAACAGTTGACTAACAAAGGCTTATTAAATTAAACTGAATTCGGTTGATCTCTGATTTCCTCTATGCCTTGAATACATGCCTGTTGGGGTGTGACTGAGCAAAATTATGCCAAGACAGTTTAAGCAAAAAGGAAAGAACAGTGACTAAGAAGATGGAAAGGAAGTGACTAGGAGTAGAAGAGTGGATGAATCAAGCCTTCACCCAGGGGATGGCAGCTAGAGAGCAATAGTTCATTCTCCACACCTAAGCCAATGGAAGGCTATAATTCCACACTCCCTTCCTGAGATTCACTAGTATCTCCTTCTCTCAAGCCCTGTCAACCTCCATCATCTGATCTGGTCTTCACTATGAACTGACTTCTCTCCCAGGCTCACTTTGCAGATACAGACCAAGCTTAGAGAGAAAAGTGTTAGTGTGGGCTAGAAGAATGGCAAGGCTTGAAGGCTTGAAGTGGAATGGGATAGGTGGGAGCATCCCGTACCCAGCTCTAAGTTCCTACTGTATCTGGTCACACTTCTTTGCCATGGCACTCCATCCATGCACTTCAGGCTTATCCATTGTTCCATTCTGTTCTTCTGAGCTCCAGCTTCTACTATAGCCAGGCCAGTCTTGCCTTCAGCCCTGCTTCCTTTCTTCTGCTACCTTCTACCTACCTTTCTCTGCTATAATTCTCATCTTACCCTAGAACTTTCCTTGTCTATTGTAAGCCTTACTAGTCCGCTTTTTACAATTTTCAAAGCATTTATATGTATAAGGTCTATTCTTTCTGACTTCTTGACTTACCCAGAGTATTATACTTGGTACTTCAATTCTCTGGCCCTTTGTTTCCATAAGTAGGCCAATATTTGTGTCAGACTACACGTCCTGTTTTGAGGGTCAAAAATATGGCTATTACACCTAGAGCCATCACAAACTCTAGCCCTTGCTTTGTATAATTGATTGTTTTCTGGGTAATTAACTTGTCTTCCCAAACTGGGCTTTTAGTTCCCTAGAAATAAAGGTCATATATATTCCTTAATCTAAATTATCTCCAAATGCCTTGTACAGGAACTAAATAAATACTGATTGGTTGATTGATTATTGATCCCAAGACATGATAAAATATTATTCTTTCCTAGTGGCCAATTTCCCATTTTAATAATCAAAGTTTCCCAAGATTTACCTGTATCCAACAGCTCCATCATAGACAGAATCATTCAGATAAATGATGGAACCTCCAGGGAGTACAAACTGCTGCCCAGCTGGAGCATTGTAAGACACCAAGCCATCTGCAAAGGAAACACAGCCAAGTGAGTGCCTACTGCTCAGGCCCATTACCCCAGGGAACTGTGTGAGTTTCAAGGGTATAAGCTTGCACGAGTGTCCAGGAGGACTCCATCTGGGCACCCAGGGAGGACTTTGGAGGAGCGCCCCTCAGTGGCAGTCAACATAATGACTCTGAATGCATGACACAGTGTGGGGCACCAAGCCCTGGGTTAATGAGCAATGCTTCTGTCTCTACTCTTCCCAAGAAGGAATCACCATTCCAGGAGTTACTGATCCCATCCCTTTCTGATTTGATTTTCCCAGAAGTTGAAGTTTTTAATAAAGTCTATAGGCTTCCTGGGCTAGTGACCTACCTAGCCAGACACAGCCGTAAAGCTCCACCCTCATGCACACATTCATGGAGTGGTCGGTGACTGGAATGAACCGGACAAATCTGGCCACAATGGGCGGCTCCAAGTCCTTTAGGAAAATGTCATAGGGGTTACTATTTCCATCCAGCACCTGAGGAGAGAGAAGAGAACGAATGAAGAGGTGATATTAAATCATGCTCACTTTTCTTCACCCTGCCACATTTTCAGTGGGCTCTCTCTTCTTAATTCGAGGAGCAGAATGCATCTACTCCACTTTCCCTACAGCCTTGATATTCCTTCCCTGCCTCCTTCACCCTGGGTCACACATTTACAAGGGCATGCCTAATCCCTGGACAGACATACCCACACAGACAACCTGTACCCTTCTTCTCCTAGCCTAAGTCTAAATACAGTCTTGGACATCCCAAGGTCTGGATGTCTCTTCTTCCTACCTGTTTCCCATGACGGTTCCGCCAAGAGATCCAGCGAGTGCCATCCCGACTGTAATTGATCTTGTACATGGGGGCAAACTCGATGCCGTGACCCCCTGCATGGCGCCCCTGGGTCCCCACAAGAGTGATAAAATGGAGGGTATGCAAGTCAATCTGCAGGAACTCCTTCAGGTCATCAGGTTCCACTGGAATCTCAGGGCACCAGGCTCCATCTCCTTCTTCTGAGTCCAGCCTTGAGAGATGAGTGTTGGAGAGAGAGGGAGCAACCAAGAAACCACAGAGCTGTTTACTGGTTCACAGGCAAGCAGCTGCCCTGTACTGAGGGGAGAGAGCAGGCTGCCCAGTCCTTATAAACATTTTGGGTTCTTGCCACAGTTTTCACTGCCACCACAATACCTATTTGTGGTCAGATCCATTTCCCTGGAGTACCATGAGACCCTGAGAGACAGTCCCCACCAGTGAGCTGAGGCCTTCAGATCACACATAGCCTTCATTCCCCATCCTGATTTAGAGGTCTAAAGAGAAATAAAACTCTTCCTACCCTCTGTTCCCCCATGAGTAATTTCATATCTCCCTTCCCTCTTTCAAACTCAGCCTAACAAAGCTAGCCACCCTTTGCTTGGACATCAAATTATGGCAATAAGGAGGAGGGATAGTAGGGTCTCCAGTGTGGGTTATGCAATGCTGCAGGATGGGCACTGCAGACCAGCAAGGAGCCATAGACACACATGGGGAGGATGAGGGGGAAGAGCATGTCAAGGAAGTAGTAAATAATCTGGTTTCATTTCATTACCTCCAGGCTGAGCTACCATGGAGCAAAATTGTGAAATTATTATAAAGTTTACTTTGAGAACCTCCTACCACTTTCCCTTTCCCCTGGAATGCTCCCTTTTCCCACAGATATTACCCATTCATTTGTTGCTCCCTTCCAGTTCCACCAACCATCACTCTAGTCTTTCATACACTAAGAAATTATGGGGAAGTTTCATCAGGATTGCTTTTCTTATGGGTAATTCCATTTTAATAAAATCAATACTTCACACCAAAAGAATTAGATGCCAGGAAGAGTACTGGGTCCAACCAGTAGAGCAGTAGGGAGTTTATTGATGTACAAGACCCCTGAAATCAATCACCCCAGGAAACTGCCACACTCTGTCTGTTGGCAAGGGTGACCCTTCTATGTGAGACATCCTTGAGAGAGAGGGAGAACTTGTTGGAGGCCTCAGTGTCTTGATGCTTTGCAGTAAGTGATGCTTTGCAGTGAGTGATGTTTCATAGACCCACTGAGAAGAGGAGTAGATGCTAACTCCCAGTGTCCTACATAATCTGCACCTTCCCATAGCTGCCACTGTTGCCTGCTTCCTGCAGCAGCTCAAAATGAGAAAGTCAGGGAAAGCAAATCCACTTCCTATCAATTAACCCATTCACTGTGGATAATGTGGCCCTGGGGCCTCTGTGGTTGAGATGGGGCTGCCAGACCAGTACATGTGGCTAAGCCCTGAATTCTCTCCCTGAAAACATACAGAGCAGGACAGGCCCACTTGCTGTCTGTCCTTCATTCTCAACAGTTCCTGCCAATAACGTCACCTTTCCCAGCCCCTAGGGTCAGGAATCTGTCCCCAGGAAATCTGTCCAACCCCAGAACATAGGCTTTCTTGATGTAACCATCCTTACCTTCCATATTTGGCAGCTGTGGACTCTGACCACTGACTGGAAGCTGTGATGTCCTCATCTGGAATCTGGCCTCCTGACATGCCCAGAGGATAGCGGCATATAGCTAGACCAAGAGAAACCAAAGAGAAGAGAGAGGACATGCTTTTATTTTTATTTCCAGAACTCCCTAGGAAGAACATCACTGAATATTGAACAAGGAATAAGATAATTTACATCTTCCTCAATTCCTCTATGGCCCCAATTTGACCACCCTGACTCTATCAGATTTGTCTTTCTGGCCCTGACTCCAAATAAAATTTGGGCCTCCAAGATTTGACCCCCAGCCAAATCTGTGTTTTGGTTCAAACTCTAACAATCAATGTAATATAATGTAATGTGCCAATTTATGTTTTGTACTTGGTAATAACCCCAGTGGCCCATCCCATTCTCTTGTTAGCAGATGTTCACTTCTAATCAATTTCCTAACAGTAGTGAGGAACACTCATAATCACCAGGCACCCTTATGATACAAAGAATTATTTTTTTTTTCAGTAGTTAATTTCATGAAAACTATAAAGCAAACTACACACTTGCCTACGAAGGGATCGAACATACATTTTTGGCCCTGGTTAGAACCATGTTCTGAATCCTGGCTATAAACAATAAGCTCTGGATACAGACTTCCACTTTCAACCAAAGACAGGGTAACAGAGACCATATTTGCTCTCCAGTGTGAAACAACCAAAAAGGACAAAATATATGAAAAATTATGTTTTAAGATAATGAGCATCTGACAACAAAGGACAACAATCTGAGAGTCAGGAAACAAAAATTTGAGCCCTGTAGTGGCATCAGTTTACTGGCATGAGAGTGTGTCCAGGATACATCACAATGAGTGGGAACTCAGGCAGAGCCTGGAGAATCTCCTGAGTTGAGGAGACAAAAATAGGAGTCCAGAGAAGTAAAGGAAGCTAGAGTTCTCAGGACACTGGGCTGCCAGATAAAATTTAGTTAAATTTGAATTTCAGATAAGCAACAACAATTTTTTTTTCTTTTCTCTTTTTCTTTTTTATTATACTTTAAGTTCTAGGGTACATGTGCACAATGTGCAGGTTTGTTACATATGTATACATGTGCCATGTTGGTGTGCTGCACCCATTAACTCGTCATTTACAATAGGTATTTCTCTTAATGCCATCCTTCCCCCTTCCTCCCACCCCATGACAGGCCCCAGTGTGTGATGTTCTCCGCCCTGTGTCCAAGTGTTCTCACTGTTCACTTCTCAACCATGAGTGAGAACATGCAGTGCTTGGCCTTCTGTCTTGCAATCGTTTGCTCAGAATTATGGTTTCCAGCTTCATCCATGTCCCTATATAGGACATGAACTCATCCTTTTTTATGGCTGCATAGTATTCCATGGTGTATATGTGCCACATTTTCTTAATCCAGTCTATCATTGATGGACATTTGGGTTGATTACAAGTCTTTGCTATTGTGAATAGTGCCACAATAAACATACGTGTGCATGTGTCTTTATAGTAGTATGATTTATAATCCTTTGGGTATATACCCAGTAATGGGATCACAGGGCCACATGGTATTTCTAGTTCTAGATCCTTGAGGAATCGCCACAATGTCTTCCACAATGGTTGAACTAGTTTACACTTCCACCAACAGTGTAAAAGCGTTCCTATTTCTCCATATCCTCTCCGGCACCTATTGTTTCCTGACTTTTTACTGATGACCAGTGGTGATGAGCATTTTTTCATGTGTCTGTTGGCTGCATAAATCTCTTCTTTTAAGAAGTGTCTGTTCATATCCTTTGCCCACTTTTTGATGGGGTTGATTTTTTTTCTTATAAATTTGTTTAAGTATTTGTAGATTCTGGATATTAGTCCTTTGTCAGATGGGTAGATTGCAAAAATTTTCTCCCGTTCTGTAGGTTGCCTGTTCACTCTGATGGTAGTTTCTTTTGCTGTGCAAAAGCTCTTTAGTTTAATTAGATCTCATTTGTCAATTTTGGCTTTTGTTGCCATTGCTTTTGGTGTTTTAGTCATGAAGTCCTTGCCCATGCCTATGTCCTGAATGCTATTGCTTACATTTTCTTCCAGGGTTTTTATGGTTTCAGGTCTAACATTTAAGTCTTTAATCCATCTTGAATTAATTTTTGTATAAGGTGTAAGAAGGGGATCCAGTTTCAGCTTTCCACATATGGCTAGCCAGTTTTCCCAGCACCATTTATTAGATAGGGAATTCTTTCCCCATTTCTTGTTTCTCTCAGGTTTGTCAAAGATCAGATGGTTGTAAATGTGTGGTATTATTTCTGAGGGCTCTGTTCTGTTCCATTGGTCTGTATCTCTGTTTTGGTACCAGTACCATGCTGTTTTGGTTACTGTAGCCTTGTAGCATAGTTTGAAGTCAGGTAGCGTGATGCCTCCAGCTTTGTTCTTTTGGCTTAGGATTGTCTTGGCAATGCAGGCTCTTTTTTGGTTCCATATGAACTTTAAAGCAGATTTTTCCAATTCTGTGAAGAAAGTCATTGGTAGCTTGATGGGGATGGCATTCAATCTTTAAATTTCCTTGGGCAGTATGGCCATTTTCACGATATTGATTCTTCCTATCCATGAGCATAGAATGTTATTCCATTTGTTTGTGTCCTCTTTTATTTCATTGAGCAGTGGTTTGTAGTTCTCCTTGAAGAGGTCCTTCACATCCCTTGTAAGTTAGATTCTTAGGTATTTTATTCTCTTTGAAGCAATTGTGAATGGGAGTTCACTCATGATTTGGCTCTCTGTTTGTCTGTTAGTGGTGGATAGGAATGCTTGTGATTTTTGCACATTGATTTTGTATCTTGAGACTTTGCTGAAGTTGTTTATCACTTAAGGAGATTTTGGGCTTAGACGATGGGGTTTTCTAAATACAAAATCACATCATTTGCAAACGGGGACAATTTGACTTCCTCTTTTCCTACTTGAATACCCTTTATCTCTTTCTCCCGCCCTGGCCAGAATTTCCAACACTACGTTAAATAGGAGTGGTGAGAGAGGGCATTCCTCTCTTGTGCCAGTTTTCAAAGGGAATGCTTCCAGTTTTTGCCCATTCAGCATGATATTGGCTGCAGGTTTGTCATAAATATTTGTCATAAATATTTTGAGATATGTCCCATCAATACCTAGTTTATTGAGAGTTTTTATCATATAAAGGGCTGTTGAATTTTGTTGAAGGCCTTTTCTGCATCTATTGAGATAATCATGTCGTTTTTGTCTTTGGTTCTGTTTATACGATGGATGATGTTTATTGATTTGTGTATGTTGAACCAGCCTTGCATCCCAGGGATGAAGCCAACTTGATCATGGTGGATAAGCTTTTTGATGTGCCACTGGATTTGGTTTGCCAGTATTTTATTGAGGATTTTTGCATCAATGTTCATCAGGGATATTGGTCTCAAATTCCCTTTTTTTGTAGTGTCTCTGCCAGGCTTTGGTATCAGAATGATGCTAGCTGCATAAAATGAGTTGGGGAGGATTCCCTCTTTTTCTGTTCATTGGAATAGTTTCAGAAGGAATGGTACCAGCTCCTCTTTGTACCTCTGGTAGAATTTGGCCGTGAATCCATCTGGTCCTGGACTTTTTTTGGTTGGTAGGCTATTAATTATTGCCTCAATTTCAGAGCCTGTTATTGGGCTATTTCAGGGATTCAACTTCTTCCTGGTTTAGTCTTGGGAGGGTGTATGTGTCCAGGAATTTATCCATTTCTTCTAGATTTTCTCGTTTATTTGCGTAGAGGTGTTTATAGTATTCTCTGATGATAGTTTGTATTTCTGTGGGATTGGTGGTATCCCCTTTATCATTTTTTATTGTGTCTATTTGATTCTTCTCTCTTTTCCTTTTTATTAGTCTTGCTAGTGGTGTATCAATTTTGTTGATCTTTTCAAAATCCAGCTCCTGGATTCATTGATTTTTTTGAAGTGTTTTTTTGTGTCTCTATTTCCTTCAGTTCTGCTGTGATCTTAGTTATTTCTTGCCTTCTGCTAGCTTTTGAATGTGTTTGCTCTTGCTTCTGTGGTTCTTTTAATTGTGATGTTACGGTGTTAATTTTAGATCTTTCCTGCTTTCTCTTGTGGGCATTTAGTGCTATAAATTTCCCTCTACACACTGCTTTAAATGTGTCCCAGAGATTCTGGTATGTTGTATCTTTGTTCTCATTGGTTTCAAAGAACATCTTTATTTCTGCCTTCATTTCGTTATTTACCCAATAGTCATTCAGGAGCAGGTTGTTCTGTTTCCATGTAGTTGTGTGGTTTTGAGTGAATTTCTTAATCCTGAGTTCTAATGTGATTGCACTGTGGTCTGAGAGACAGTTTGTTAATAGTTTCTGTTCTTTTACATTTGCTGAAGAGTGTTTTACTTCCAACTATGTGGTCAATTTCGTAATAAGTGCGATGTGGTGCTGAGAAGAATGTATATTCTGTTGATTTTGGGTGGAGAGTTCTGTAGATATCCATTAGGTCCCCTTGGTGCAGTGCTGAGTTCAAGTCCTGGACATCCTTGTTAACTTTCTGTCTCATTGATCTGTCTAATGTTGACAGTGGGGTGTTAAAGTCTCCCATTATTATTGTGTGGGAGTCTAAGTCTCTTTGTAGTTCTCTAAGGACTGACTTTATGAATCTGGGTGCTCCTGTATTGGGTTCATATATATTTAGGATAGTTAGCTCTTCTTGTTGAATTGATCCCTTTACCATTATGTAATGGCCTTCTTTGTCTCTTTTGATCTTTGTTAGTTTAAAGTCTGTTTTATCAGAGACTAGGATTGCAACTCCTGCTTTTTGTTGTTGTTGCTTTCCATTTGCTTTGTAGATCTTCCTCCATCCCTTTATTTTGAGCCTTTGTGTATCTCTGCATGTGAGACGGGTCTCCTGAATATAGCACACTGATGGGTCTTGACTCTTTATCTAATTTGCCAGTCTGCGTCTTTAAATTGGGGCATTTAGCCCATTTACATTTAAGGTTAATATTGTTATGTGTGAATTTGATCCTGTCATTATGATGTTGGCTGGTTATTTTTGCTCATCAGTTGATGCAGTTTCTTCCTAGCATCGATAGTCTTTACAATTTCGCATGTTTT